AGCTTGTGTTTTTTCTTCGCACAAGTGCTTTATTTCACAACCACGCTTTGATTTGAAGTGTTTAATGCCCATTTGTGTCCATTTTTATGCATACATAACTGTGAAAAGTGTTTTTGAATCAGGATTGAATATTCATGAGAAACGGCTTGTCAGTCATATAGCTGACTTCAAAATGAACAGTTTGCCATTTTCCAGCAGTTGGGGGGTATAGATCATTTGATACCATTTCTGTTTCCAGACCTAAATGGTCCATTCACCCAACTGAAAAACTTTTATAGCAAAATGCAGCAATCTCAGATGGCTACAGAAAATACACAGGGAGAAAAATAGGAAATGTCTTGGAATAAGCGCAGAACCGAGTGCTCAGCTAAGTTGCAGCTCTTCTCTGCTCCTATAATCCATCTGAATTCACTGAAATGGCTCGGGTGGAGCTGAGAACAGAAGTCAGATGCCATTCTTTTTGTGTAAACTCCTGAGTGAATGCTTTGAAGTGTCAAAAGTCCCATGGGCCTTGACTGATCACTGGAATTCTGATACTTCTCTACCCACTCTGGTGTATGGGCATGATGTAGTCTAATGTGAGCTAAAGCTTTTTATCTTTTTAAATGTTAAACAAAATTTCTTTCCAAGGTTGAGGGGCAGTAGTTCTGCTTACAGAGAAACTGTTATGATGAAGCTTGGATACACTTTTGCCTCAAGCAAGGGCAGAAAGGCAACCTGGTTTGTTGCGCTGGCTCAGGATCAGTTTCAAAAGCTGATTGTGCTGGTGAGCTGACTCTTAACTCCACGAGTTCCACTCAGGGTTGTCTGCTTGTCTTCTCATACCCCACTGCATAAATGACTTGAAGGAGTTAAGTAGTTGCCTTAGTCCTCTCTATTTGGTGAGCTGCGTGTTTGGTGAGGCATGGTTAGACGCATTTATTTCTTCACTTGCTGAATGCATTTTGGACAGGTTAGGAAGGATGTGCCTTTGAATTCTGTATTTGGTATTTGGGAATGCTTACAAGGAAATAAGACATTAAGTGGAGAGAAGTAATATAGTGTGATGAATTCGGAGATGGCCACCCAAGCTATCACTTACGGAGCCTTATCCTGTAACTGCAGTCACGTTACATGTGTCACACAGATTTAGGCAGAAGGTTTTTACACATGGTTTCACGGTTCATTTAGAAGGTATTTAGTAATGCTGATGTTTATACTCCTAGGTTAGGTACTCGATCATCAGCTGTGCACATTACTAGAACATAAGTGCATGACATGATACAGAAACTTTGTTATGGCCCAGAGTAGTCAGAGCAGATACTGCAAGGGTGATGCCAAGTCCCCAAGGGAAATGGTGATACTTACCAAGGGCAAGATTGCACTCCTACTCTGCAGTATCTATACTCTCCACTAAGCATTGATTTACTTTTTGTTACATAAGCTAACATTCTCTGCAATGCAATGAAGTGTCAGCTAAAAAAAAAGTAGTCAAAAATTGTAATCAAGGTGTCAACATGTATATCCATCCACAGGGTTAATGACAGCTGCACAGCCAACATCGCTACCAAATAATCAGTGGTGGTTTTTTGAAGTCGTTTTACTTGTGCGCTACATGCAATTTTTATTTTCATATGCTCTATTGTAGTACATAAATAGTGATTACTCCTCTTTTAAGTTGCAAAATGTTTTCTTTTATGGTCTATTTTTCACAAATACCCCATTCTTCTCAAAGCATTCACCTTGTCACAGAAAATACCCCATATTTTTTGTCTTGTCAAATGTTACCACTTTGTATTTCTTCTGTGTTTACTGTAAATTGTGTTGACATCTGTTTGTAAATTACAGGGCTGTGGGGAAAAATAGATGTCTGGCACTGATGTATCCCACAGTGAAGTTGCTTGGTTGATTTTCTTGAGTTAGGGGACTGAGAGAGAATTCCAATTTCAAAGGTAAAAGTGGATTGAGCTATCAGCTTTGCATTTGTTGGTACAGTTTGGTGTCAGAGGAAGAAATACAGAGCTGCTCAGGGTAATTATTCTAATTTGACAAGTTGGGTGCACCAAAAACCTGGATCCTAAGCAATGCAGTCAGTTTTCATTGGTGAAACCTGCACATTCAGGGAAAAAAACTTATCAGGCACTTCCATGAGGTTTTTGACATAGTAATAAGATTAATTTACCCTGTCCATCTGTTGTGAAGGAAGAGCCCTGTGACCATGTCATGTTCACAGTCCTTACGTTTAAAAATAAAAGAAATACTGGATGTATTCTCCTCTCCAGCAGAAGCATGTTAAACCAGAAAGAGCAAATCCTGCTCTAGCACAGTAAAACCAGTATAAATCTGCTGCTTGACAAGTGTAGGTGGGTTCCAGACTGTTCAAGTACAGCTCAACCATCCTAGTTCAAACAGTATCTCCTGCAAAGTTGTATTGTTGAACATCGGAAAATCTAATTACTGACTCAAAAAAAAAAAAAAAGTGTAATTCATCTAGTCAAAATATTAGAAGGGGAAAAATCATTACTATTTTGAGACTGGCTAGCTTAAACACAAAGACAATCTCTGAATTTTATTTTTCATTCACAAGTTATTTTTTTGTGAAACTGTAGAAATAGTTATCAATTCAGAAAATACACACTTCAGAGCTGTATTCAATCACTTAAATTTTAAGAAACTTCCATTCCTTTGCTGTAATTTTGTGTAGCCATCCCCTGGCCACTGTTTGTGCCACACAGCAGCTAACAAATGCATGTTAGATACTTTCTTCTCTCTCAAGTGCAGGTGTTACCATGCACAGTTGATGCGTTTTCCTTGATGCTATTTTTGGGGCAAAGGATTGCATGGTGTATAAGGACATGGTGAAGAAGCCCAATTTTATCTGCTTTGATCACTCAGTTACACAAACGCAATCCTTGTGGTTGCTGTGACCAGTGCCTGACCTTGCAGGGCTGCACTCCCATCCCTGTGCTAGCTGAGCTGGGAGTTGCCTTCTTCATGCAGCCTTGCACCCAGTACAAGTGCAAAGCTTTGCACTGCTGCCTTGAAGCAGGCCCTACGTTTGCCCGTGCTCACCTGACAGCTTTCATTCAGTCCGCATGGTACCGCTTCCAGCCGTGGCCTCCAAGCGTGGCTTTCCTGGCACAGCTGCCCCTGCTGCTGTTTTGTATTCCCTGCACTGCTCTGCAACGCGTTTACGCTCTGGTTTAACGTGCCTCAGGAAGACCTGCCCCTGAAATGGTCAAGCCAGTGCACAGGCAAGTGTGCCACTGGAGTACAAATCAAAAATGCCAAACGTGACTTTGTATTGATTTTTTATTTTTTTTTAATGAAGTACTTGGGCTGCTCTTCAAGCAGACAGAGACTTGTCATTTTTTTTGTTGTTGCATTTCTTTCATTTTCTGTTTAGGGCAAGATAGTTTTCACTGATAACACAAGATACATACAACTTTTAGAACGGGTGAGGGGGATTGCTCTACATGAATATTTCTAGTTTAATAAATTCAATTTTTTTGGAAAGTTTTCACAGACCACTGCTGTTTTTAACAACTCTTTTGAGTTGGAATTAAAATAATTCAAAACACTGTTAGGGCCTTTTTAAAGCACATTTAAATTCCTTTCATCCCTTTACATGCTTTTGATTAGAAGGGCTTCAATTTTATAATGTATTTCATTTTTTTCAAATAAGACATTTCAGGCAAACCCAAACTTAGTAAGAAACTTCAAGCAAATCCCTTTGATGGGTTTTCAAAGTATGTAAGAATCCTAAATCTCTGGTTCTTTAGGCTGGAACGCTTCTTTGAAAATCTGAAATAGCTTCTGCACCAAAAATCTGCTTTTTGCCTCCTCATGTTTATCTCCTGTTACCTCCATCCCATGGACCTGGTTTGTCTCTTAGATTGTGAGGAATTGTGTCTAGTATGTGGGAAACTCCTTCACAGTTAAGACAGTCATGACAACAGTAATGTACATGAAGAATAAAAACCCAGTTCCTGTGCTGAAATGCTTTAGATGTTTGTCTCTTAAAAGCTTATTTTCAGTATGTTCTTACAAAGCACCCTGCCCACATTTCTTAGCGTAAATGTACCCATGTCTGCATGTTCTATTCCCTTTTTTCATGTTATCCTCAGGTTCTCAGCACCATGAATAAGAGCAATGTAGAGGTGGTACTGACCTTCCAGTTAGTCACTTCACTTTTTTTTGTTGGTGTGGTTGTTCTGAACGTGGCTGGAAGAGCTTCAAATCATTTATCAGCTCTGCAATTGTTGTCTCAAGAAAACAAAAATGGAGGGAAAAAAAAAAAAGAAGAAAAAGCTCAGTACAAATTGCCTGTAATAAGATTTGTTTCTAAGCGTGAAAGCGTGTTAGTTATTAGTCAGTCAGAGTTTAGCAAGATAGCCATGGCAGTGGCATTAAAGAGAAAGCTCTGTCTATACCCAAGGCATCGTTCATCTACAGACAGCGAGTCCCGGTACATTCTTATGGCATTTACCAAATCGCTTTTGGGGGGCTTCAGATGGGTGGGTTTAGTACAATTATCACTAATGAAGTTATCCGGGAGAGTAATCATAGTGGCATAAAGCAGGTGAGTAGAGGACGACTTGTGTCCCAGGCAGAGCTCCTTTTCTGTGGTTTGTGCCAGCTGGGCCTTGCTCTGCGCTGAGAGCACAGAGGCCGTGTGAATACATGGCCGTGCCCTGCTGTGCCCACACAGCTGGAGCCACATGTAGGTGTGCAGGAGAAGGGGAGCAAGCTGCTGGTGACAATCTCAAGATAGCAGGCTGTGTACTTCCCCATGCTTGTTGGTTTGGGATTTGCACAACACCTTCACTTAACATAGACATGGGAGAGAGTCGTGCCCTTTGCAGGCAGTAGGACTTGGAGGCATAATGATGCGGAAGGGTAGCGGCCGCAAAGGTTTGATGAAGGGAGTGGACGCCTCTGAGGATTCCCAGGGAGTGACTGCATAGAAAGGCCAGGAGACTGGGGTTTGTGTTTTGTTTTCCTTAATTACTTATGTTCAGATATTGATCAGTGGAATAAAGTTATCGAGCAGCTGGGAACACCCTGTCCAGAATTCATGAAGAAGCTGCAGCCGACGGTACGGAACTACGTTGAGAACAGACCCAAGTATGCTGGCCTCACCTTCCCCAAACTTTTTCCAGACTCTCTCTTCCCAGCTGACTCAGAACACAACAAACTCAAAGGTATGTATGATAAAGGACCGCAATTAACGTGTGAGCAGCCACAGTGCAAGGAAGGATTTTCCCAATTTTTCTTCTCTCTAGTTGTATTCCTTCTTAATGCATTTAGTTGCGGAAGCAAATGAATTTTTATGTTGAGCTTAGAGGCAGCTTTTGGAAGTGATTTTTGGAGAACCTGGTACTTGGGCAGCCAAGGAAGTCTCCATTGTCACTGATTAATGTGTCAATCATAACCACACGGTGTTTGTTCTTTATGGTACTTCTGTATCGTGAGGAACTGTGGTATTCATTTATTCTCTTGCTAAAGCTTGTAACACAAAGGAAAAGGAGAGCTTTCATCACACCTCAACTCTTACACACTTCTCTTTTCAACTAGAAAGGCCAGGTGCCTGCCTCGTAGCTCTGCCTTATCTTGACGACAGAAAGGTATCAGCAACATCAGCCAAAATGGTCTTGATATAGCTGAGGTTTAATATGTGTTGTAGGTGGATTTCTTATTTTGAAAAATGCTGTAGTTCAGTTTTGACATGTAAAGCTGAGCAGTAACTTAATTCTGGTGTGACTAGATACACTGCTCTAGAATATATACACTGATATGTTTTGTAATAGCCTTAATCATATTTTGAAGCCATGGTTTACTTCAAGATAACTTCTATCTCCAACCGGAAAGACTGATTAATGTGTGTTTAGGATAGAAAGGATTTCTTACTGCAGCTATATTACACCTACCAGCTTGTGCTGTGTATCTGTTTTGCACCTCTTGAGTACTTTGGGTTGCTTACTCCAGTGACCTGTAATGATCTTCAATTGCTTGCAGCTGAGATGCCATTCCATTTCCTAGAGTACTCTTCCCGTTAGCAGCTGTTTGGTAGCAGGGCTGCTGTCGCAGCTCAAGGAGCCAAGTGAACGTCTGAGTGAATGCTTTGGGATGCACAGAATTCCATCCTCCTGCTCCAGTAAATTTGAACAAATAAATTTTCATGGATTTGGAACTGATGAACAGCAACCACAAAGTGCAATATTACCTTTTGGATACAGGAAGCACATGCCTTTAAGCAAACGGAGCAGTCCTTTTAAGGATATACTGTCAGAACAAGGAACAGTGCCTTACAAGAGTTTTGCTGGTGCATCACTGTGTCATCCCACCTCCTGCTTAAGTAGTTCAGTAAGAAATGTTAACAGTTTCATTTGATAGCAGGATTGTGTGAGATGGGAAACCCAATAACATTTTGCACTTGATACCTGTTTTAAATTCTTCTTTATTTCAAGTTCTCTGTTGTGTGATACATAGTAAACTATTTTGAGCACTGCAGTAGTAGCAATAGCAAAGAAAGTAAGTTGCTGATTTTTTTTTTTAAACAAGGGGTTTGCTGATGTCTATTAAAATCTCCAATGCTGGCCTGAAGTTGGCACCTTTCTAATGAATGCAGCCTAATGGTGGTTACTGAAGAGCTCTTGCTCTAGCAAGGCAGGGGGCAGAAGTAGGTGTAAGCCATCTCTAGAAGCAATCTCATCATTCCATAGTCCAATTCACCTTTCTCTGGTGGCATTGATTTCTTGTACTAATAACCATTTTTGTCTGATTTCATTGTTCTAGCCAGCCAAGCCAGGGACCTTCTATCAAAGATGCTAGTCATTGATCCGGCTAAGCGAATATCAGTAGATGAAGCCTTACAGCATCCATACATTAATGTCTGGTATGACCCAGCAGAAGTGGAGGCGGTAAGTCAGATGTGATTCCTTATTTCAGACTGAAAAATGTAGATGTGATTCATGTTTTCCTCCTGCTTTATAGCAGCTTGGTAACAAACATGCTATAAGAAACGATGTTGTGACTGTGGTGGTCTCTGGATTCATGTGAAATTGCATCTGTTGGGACACAATGCATCTGTTTGATAATTAACTGACAATAGATAGAAACATAAAAAAGGTTTTAAGTGCATGAAGCTGTTTTCTGCTCTCTTCTAGTCAAGATGGGAAGAGTATTTTGAAGCAGTAGCTCACCTGTTTTTCTAGCTATATAACAGTCTGGCAAAGAAAAACAAAAGTTATCTTTCCTTATAAACCTGACCATGTGGAAGACAGTAAGCATCACTTGTATTTATTTTCAAGGAAGTATGTGCAAAGAGGAGAATCAAACAAAACAATACGAAATCTTAGTGGAATACATATTATTAAACTGCGGCAGAGGCTCATGTGATTTCCTGGGCCACAGTTCAGTGTTTGGTACCATATATACTGAGGGCAAAGAAGTTGAAATTGAATTTTTCTTTCAATCTTGTCATAATTCATTCACCTCCCTGCATGCCTTGATCAGGTTGCTGTTAACAGGAATCAGTGCAATCTGTAGGCACTTCAGTTGCGTGGTATGAATAGGTATAAATTCAGAGATGGTCCCTAATAGTGTGTGGAAACAGCCCAATCTTGCAGCAGGTTTGGAAATGCTGCTTATCACAACAGGCAGGTAAGACCCTGATCCCTGCAAATTTCGGTCATTGGTGTTCAGAGACGTGTTCCAATTCAGCATATGTTCTTAAAAGAACAGTGACCTTGAAGGAAGAGTAAATGGAAAACACAAGAAAAACACCAAATTTCCGTTGTGTAAGCTTTTTGCAGAGTGTGTTACTTAGGGATGTGTTAGAGGGGGTGGCTCTGCTATCTAGAAAGCCTTTCGATTTTGTGCACTTGATTTTTTTTTTGAAAAGTTCAGTCACTGTGAGGTTCTAGCATATGATATGCTGATATATATTACACTCCAACATGCCTGTTACACTCCAACATGCCTGTTCCAGTTTAATATCCGTCTTGCAGGCCTCATTCTATTAACAGGTAATTAAGTTGTATTTCCATGCATTATTTCTGTATTAAAGAACTACTGTGATGCGAAAAGAACTCAGATAAGTCTTTTACTTACAGGCACTGTGCTGTCATACCTTCTGATCTTGCCTTTATTCAAACCATTTAGCCCCATTTTTTTTCTTATTATCCACGGATAGTTTCAAGATCTACGTTCATTATTGGAATTAGTTGACAAATAGTTTATGCTAACATTAATCACTCTGAAGTGAGTCTGCTATTGTAAGATTTCTGTTCTCAGTCTGTACAAAGCTGTGTGGCATGGCTTGTGTTCCCTGACTGGAAGACTTACCACCAGAGGAACAGTATCTGTGCATGAATAGACATTGTGGTGCTTTCTCTTGCAAACTTTGAAAATAATAAAGCCATGTGTGGAGCACAGTAGTCATTCTTTTCCGAATAACATGCTTTGCTGAATTTGCTCAACTCTTCTCTGTCTCTTAAAGGTATTCTCATATTTAAATTATCAGGAAATTGGACTATTTTGACCCTTTGCTCTTTCCATTACCTGATAAACCAGTTAATGCATTTTGCATATTCTCTCAGTATTCTGTTCTACACTTGTTTTCCATTCTTTTTGCTTATTTCACGTTGAAATTCAGGCATGCTGTTTTAAATATGTTGGCCATTTCTGAAGTATTTGTCGCATTATCTTTAAACCAAGATGATCTTTGCTAAAAACATTTACATCATTTACAACATGCTGGGCGTTTGTTTCACTAGACAAATTGCAGTTAGTCAGGATCAAGATCTTTCTTTTGTCCAACCTGTTTAGTGGATTTTCGTGGAAGTAATCATGACTCTTACTAGGCAGTAATTGCTTGCACTTAAAACAAAACAAACAAAACCCATACTGTCCTAGTGCTGATGATTTTGTTTGTTTGGCAGTGTGTTTGTTTTGTTTTTTACAATTAAGTGAGTCTTCTCTTAAGTCAGTGCCTGCCTTCTGTAACTAGTCTTATCCAAGGTGTACAGATTTATTTTTCCTGTCTGAAAACAAAGCTTTAGAGATGGAGATTTTAGAAAAGTCTGGTTCTGACTCAAGAAAAGCTCCACATTTCGAGTCTCTGTTGCCTGAGTTGAGTTCGATTCTCTGTTGCCCAAGTTGAGTTGCATCACTGGTGTGATGAAGAGGTGAAGTGGATCAGATCTCCTCTCAGGCCAGAGGGATCAGAAGCTTAATAGGTACTACAGTAATCTCAGTCTTTTCTTCTCTTCCTTTACACAAGGAAATACATTGTATTTGGGGATATACCTGCCTATTACATTACAAATAATGACTTCATTGTTTGAGAAGGGAAAAGAAGAGCTGTAAGCCAGATTTTACAATGCATCATCCCATGTTGGAGAGGCACCAGGTACACACTGTGGCTTTTGCTTTGCTTTCTCCTAGGTGGGCCCTGCCTCCAGAGAAGAACTGCAGAGATTTGCATCCATTTAATGGGCTAGGTGCCAGAGGGTAAAATAGGGCCTTAGCTGTTTCCTGCAAAGAGGACAGGCAAGGAAACAATTGACTGGAGGGAGGACAGGGAGAGAGAATGGAGTAGCCAAGAAGAATATTTTGCCATTTGCTTAGGGAAAGTTTGCAGAGGAGCATCTGCTACCTAAACGAGTTTTCCTTCATTGTTCACAGCATCAAGCAACCCTGTTCTTTCACAGATTGCCATGTAAGCGCAGGCCCTGGAAACTAAGAGCAGAGCACCAGTCAAGTGAGCAGTGGAGATGCTTTTGTTCACTTGGTTGTGCAGAACCTCTCACAGTACTGCACTGTGTTGCATATGCTTGTGTTTACTGCACTTTTGTAGCACTTGATAAGCCCTTCTCCATAGGGTGAGGGCTTTCATCACACGACTGAAGGTCTGGTCTTCATCAAAAGCAGCTAGTTATCTGCTGTGCAAGGTTCATTTGCTTCAGAGGCCTGGCAGAAGAGGTATCAGAAAGCATTTTGTGTGATGGGCATTTTGAAGTGGGCTATTGCAGTGTCATGAAGTGTCAGTGTATGTCGGAGTAGACTGCGAAGAGCACTGAAAACGGTTAAGAGAATTTGGTGTTCAGGTTTCACCTGGAGGTAATGACCCTCTACATCTGCCCAGGTTTATGGCATTTTGAGTGTGTGAGGACCAGATAAAATAGCCCTGTCCAGTTAAAAAGCGGACTAGCGAGAGAGTTACAATCCTTTTTTACACATCTATTAAAAGTTTATGGTCCTTCACAGGCTGTCTGGGGGCAATAAAACTATTATGTCTCATTCTAATGGGCAAAGACTCTAACAGAAATAAGAAGTGGTAGGAAAGCAATACCCTTTTTCCTCCTGACATGTAACAGCATCATACTTTTCTGGTCTGCCTTAAATATCATGTTGTGATTCCCTGATAAGAAGAGGAAGAAACTGTGGTACTTGCTTTTCAATAACAGCATGAGGCTACACAAACAGTGCTGTGACTCCACAGACTTGTTCAAAGAACAAACCATATCCAAAGACCCCAACAGCTCTGAAACAATTGCGTTCATAGTTAGAAACAGGCATTGCACAGTTATTCAACTTACCTTTTGAGTGGATAAACAGACTTGGAGGAAATTCTCATGTCCATCCTACTAAGCTTGATAGTCAGCTTCTTTTCAGCCCACCCAGCTTGCCACAGAAACTTTGACAAGAAATCACAGCAATAGGTTCTCCCAAGAGTACATCATTGCTCTAAATTTCATTTGAATAGTGTTACTCACTTAGAAGATGATTTCTGACTTACAATTAAAATGTGTCTTAAAATAGTACAAAAACATCTCTCTACAGGTAATGTATGTTTATGATTGTGTCAATTCCTTAGATTTTTGGAACTGTTGAAATCTGTTACCAATCTAGATGTACATAACAATATTTGGACTATTAGCATGAATAAATGAGATATATGATATCTTTTCTCCCTTCGAGTGCTCTATTCTTTTTTTTTTCTTTTTCTTAGGAAAGACATTTCTAACATTCCCCACCTACAAACACAGACTACTTACTGTGTTTATTGTACCTAATCTGAATAGCTCCCTGATGTCTTATTAAATTCTGCTTTCTTGTCTGAAAATGTTGTGCTTGAGACTTGTCATTTATGCAGCTACCTTTTTTGAAGTTGCTATGCATTCTTACACTGCACTGAGACTATCTGCAAGTCCCAGATCTGATACTTTGGTTTCCATATCTCCCCTAATGTTTATACAGTGGTGTCTGTACACGTCACTGTTTTTATCCCAAAATGTTTACACAGTATGTCAATAGAATTAATTCCTAGGCATGTGCTTCAGAATAGCTTCAGCGTTGCCAACTGGGCAGCTCTGAAAGTGAACTTGAGAACAGTTGTGCTGCTTGTTCTCTGTGAAGGTGTTGGCTTGAGCAGCTTGGTCTCCAGTCTGATTCTTTCCTTACCACTGGCATTAGAGATGATTTAGAAGGGGGAAGAGAGCTGCTTATCAGTACCAAATCACATTCTTAGGTAATAGAATTGCTTAGGACTTAATCTTTCAAACTTTTCGCCTATAAATGATGGAGGAATCACTTCATTTTGCAATCTCTTGAATATCAGCATGATTTCATCTTGGTTCTTACTTGGGAACAATATCACTCCATTCCACGGATCACATCTGGTATTAAATAATCTGTTGCAGATTATTATCTGTTGCTTTCCATTAGCTGATACCAAAATTCAACTTAGATTTAACTGCATCTGTAGTTATCTGACGTATCCATTAGAAGTGAGATTTCTTAGAAAACTGTGAGAACGGATGTTAAGTGTCCTTTTTAAGCATTTCTGTACGTTGGTAAGAGTTTTATAACAGTGGTGTATTTTATGGATTTGCTTTTCACTGTAACGCACACTGCTTTCTTTCTTCACTGGTCCTATTTTCATAGGACTTGGTTACACTGGGATATGTCTGCATCTAGAACCACCCCTGAGGGAGGGTCTGAGTTGTGAAATATCATTCATTTTTCTCTGTACGCCGAGCTGCTGCATCTTACCCTTTATTACTGTGGTGTCATTTCCTACAGTGGTTATGAGAAGAGCGTGGTTGGTGGATCTCAGCCCAAGGTCCTCTCCATCCAAAAAAGAAACTGCCGTTTTATTGTTCAGCATTTGTCTGTAAACAATCTATGTCCAGCTGTTAAAATACCTGTTCAAAAGTAGTTTCAGGTGCCACAGGTAGTCCAAAAAAAAAAAAAAAAGACCAAAACAAATCACCTCTTACTTACCTGTGAGCTCTGTGACCTTAGCAAAAAACACTTAAAAGGTTTTTCTTCAGTGTCACCTTTACTACATGCGATGTTTCAGTGGCAAAATCAAGGCTCGTCAGGCTGTGCAGCTTTTCTGGTATTCTCTTCTCTTGTTTAGCCCTGTATTTATTCAGATGTATCTGAACTCTTTGGTGATCTGCCACTAGGTCTTTTAGCAATCAGTTGCAGGGTTTGGGTTTTTGCTCAGAGGTCTGTGCTGCACATCTGCTGTCTCACAAAAGAAATTTGCAGCTTTGCTTTGTACATGGGTACAGATATTTTCTCTAGTCAGCAACATCTATCCATTTATAGCTGATTAATTATGGAAGCTGAACAGAGCTACTGCGGCAGTCTTTGCTATTGTCAGTGGGAACTAGTGGTTTTAGAAGAAAGAGATCTTTATTCCTTTCTTCCTTTTTTTTTTTTTTTTCCTTTCCTTTTCCAAACCAAATTAAAGCATTTTCCAGCTTGCTGGAACATATCTGCAAGCTGTTCTCTTGTCTGCATGTAGCCATGTAACCTCAACTCCTGCTGCATGGCACCCTTATAGTGCAGCTGACCACTGTTTCCTTGATGCAAACTACAGGCTGAGTGAGATTTCCAAGAGGCTCTGCAGGCTCCAAGCAGCACAGGCAGAGGCATCTCTTCTGCTGCCTCCCTAGCTGAGCCCAGAGCCAGCCAGCTGTGGGCTCCCCAGGCAGTACTGGGTGAAATGCAGAGCCCTTGATGTTTTTCTCTCTAGCCAAAGAGACTTCAAGCCTCTTCTGACAGCACCCTGGTGTACTTGTTTGCACTGCAAAAATAAATATATAAATGTTATCAGCAATACAACTGAAGGTGTAGCAAAGCACAAAAGAATGCTTATATTCACCTTTTATGGGGACCTAAGCCATATAACCAATTGTTTAACCTCACACCTTTCATTTTTACAGCCTCTGGTGCCTCTGCTCTTTATATATGGCCAGCTCTGTCGTTGCCTTGTCCTCTGCTCCAGACCCTGCGAGGCCAGGAACAGATGCAGAAGCAAGCTTTCTTCCTGCCAAGCTTTCTAAAAATAGCTCATCCTATGGTCTGCACTGTGCTGACACCAGCTCCGCAGAGGCAGGGGTATCAGGGGAGCTGCTTTATTCATGTGGGAGCTGCTTTATTCACATGGGAGCTCAGGCCCATTGCCTTCACTTCCTAGCAGTCATACGCAAACCAGTCCATGTTGCTTTAGTGAAGTAAGAATTCATCAGCCTCAATATATGTCTTGCTTTTTCACCCTGGTAAGAAGCTTTTCCTCCTGGATGTTAGAAAGGTGTTCAGTGAGTCCAGTTATCTCCTGTTTGTGTGACCACTTGCAGAATGTTGCCTTTTTTCCTTTTTTTTATAATTTAGAAAAAGACCCATATGTGTGTTTCCTGATTTTTTTTTTTGTTGTTACATTCAGTGAAAGTTAAACACTCTGCAAAAATACTTGAGAAATTGGTATAATTTAGAACATGAGAACCACTGAAACAGCAAGCAATTAATATGTACAAGAAAAATACCATTCCTTCCTTCCTTTTTGCATCCCCATACAGACCGTATTCTTTGTTATTGTTGCAAATTCAATTGCCTAAAAATCAATTTGATTTGAGGAGAAAACAGTTTAAAAAAAAAAAAGCTAGATGCTGCCACCCACAGGCCTGGTCTTTACTCTGCTTTGTTTTAATGCTAGCCTGATAATACTTTTTCTGAAATATGTACCAACTAGCATGTAATTCTCAGTTGGGAGGATGTATTAGGGTATCTACAGTACTGCAACTGTATGCATATAGAAAATGAACTGTGATGAGTTCGGTCATTTTGTCAGCCATTTGAGTTAGGCAGGAAAGTCATTTTTAGGCTAACCTTTACACCAAGTAAAGCCTGAAGTCAGGTGCTAGTGGAGGATCCAGGTATGACAGCTGCTCTGTCATCTTCACTGCTGTGACAGTGTCTGCGTCACAAACATCACCTCTTCCCTCTAATTTTAGAAGCTGGTTAAAAAGAAAATTTAAAAAAAAAAATAGGAAAAATTAAGCAGTCAGCCTGAAGGGGATTATTTAGGTTGATGGTAATGCATTAAGCTCAGTGGTTCTTGTTAACATTAATGAGGATTGCAGGAAAACTTCATTCCTCAAGCTCCTGTGGTATTCTCAGCTCAGTGCTGTGCCTCAGAATCAATGAAAATGTCCTGAACGAGTCCTAAAGATTTAGGAAATGAATGAGGAAATTCAGATGGGAAAGCTTTGCTGTTTCAGGGAGAGGGTGCTGGCCTGGCCTCTCAGTGGAGCTCCCCTCACCTGCGTTCTGCACACGCTTTAGAGGTAATAAATATATCCTGCCTGTGAGAAGCAGAGCCATTTATTTGTGTCATTATCACAGTGACACATCTCACAGCTGTGGGTTCTCCTGGCTCACACGTACCAGTCTACAGTATGAACACTGGCACAGCAGCGGGATGCTCCGAGCAGGTGCAGTTTCTGGCATCCCACTGCATGTGAAATACAGAGTTTGGGTGCTCACCCTCAATCAGTTGCTTTCCTTGTAACTAGCAGTTTGGTAACAAGTGAGATTGTTTTGGGCTCTCCCCCTGGAAAATGCCTTCCTTTCCAGAATGTGTTGATCTAGGAAATAATGACTGCAGCTTTTCTTCCTGTTACCCAATTATGCCTGCTTAAGACATAGCTGAAATAAATTAGGGGAGACATAAGCCAAGGATTTTGTGGTTGTGTGAGCTGAGGCCAGGAATGTGCATCTGATCTTTGCCTTTGATTCTGTAATTTGCACATTTGAGAAGTACAGTAGTGAAGGAATCAATCTTGCTATTTCTGGCTGGGGAGAAATACACCGTTTTCAATGGCGGGTGTAAAAAGAGTGTAGACGCGTGGTAGGGGTTATTTTACCCACAGCCTGTACTGTGGGTAACCTCACTGAAGCTTTAGAGAGGAAGGTACTTGCAGGATATTCCTGTCCAACTTGGTTGACTTGCTTGGCTTCCATCTGGCAGAGAAGCAGCGGGGCTGTCGCTGTGCCTGACAGTGGCTCTGAAGCCTCACCCACTGCTGCTGCCAAAAGCCAAGAGCCAGCAGACAGCTCCTGCAACTCCTCTTTAAATTCCTAGCCCCTGGGGCTTCCATGCCTTCACCAAGCATCCTCTGCTTTCCCCCGCTAGGAAATCCAAGGTGCTGGGCTGGCCAAGTGGCTGAGCAGTACACAACCCGTGTGTGGGATTTCTGGGCTCAGTGCAAGCAGAATGATGGCATTATTGACCAGGGTCTTATTGCACTGCAACTATGCCTCTTGTTTAAAAGAGGAAGAGGGAGAAGTATTGTGTTTTCTTCTATATAAAGTGTTGATTTCCAGAACTGTTAACTCCTTTAATATTCAGATATGGTTCATGTGGTTTTGCATAAACAGGATGGATTATAAAGAGAGAGAGGAGAATTGATCTTTACTCCTAGTTATTTGCAATATAAAGAACAATCTGATAAATTGTTTTATTTCTCTTGCAGCCGCCTCCCCAGATATACGATAAACAGCTGGATGAAAGGGAACATACAATCGAGGAATGGAAAGGTAATCACAGTTTAGGATTATATGGAAAGGGGTATTTCTGTGGCAAATAAGCCATGTCCCACTACCAAGTGCATCTCTAAAGCTAAAAGAATTCCTATCACAGCAAGAATTGAAACCAGCAAACTGGTGCTTTTGTAATGAAAAAACAAGATACAAGGAATGTCCTGAGAAACACCGTTACCTGCACAGGTTAACGTGAACTCCGGAGTGCAGATTACAATGCTACATTGAAATTTAAGTTGATCATCTGCCTGTGTAGCAGGCAGTGCTACACAGGCAGATGATCAAGGAGTGCTGTGTAGTAGGATGATAGATCAGAAGTCTTCTTATACTTGATAATGCTGTATTACTCTGTTGCTTCATTTCTGGGCAGTGGAGCATTAAACAATTCATGTGTTATAGCTTAACCTGATTTGTCTCAATTCAGTTCCAAAAAGAGGTGGTCACAGAGGAAGGGAATGGAAGAGTGAGATCTTAGGCAAGTAGAGCTGTCAGACTCATGAAGACAATGTAGAGTAGCCCCAGTGCACCTATAGGAGTGCTGCTGTCTCCTGATTTTGTTGTTCCTGATCACAGGCACTGGTTCCTGTTTGTGACTGTTGCAATTCTGTTTTCCAGAACTCATCTACAAAGAAGTAATGAATTCTGAAGAAAAAACTAAAAATGGCGTAGTAAAAGGACAGCCTTCTCCTTCAGGTACTCAGCCCCATTGAATAACTGTGTGTTGTCTGTACTGACAAAAGGAAAACAAAAGGAACTGAAGCACTTGGCCTGCACTAGCAGTTATGTAGATCAATTTCAGAAGTTGAATTCAGCACTTTTAATGGGTTGAGCTTGATTACCAGAACTGCAGTGTGAACACTCAAAAATAGCTCTGCTTGGTATTTGAGAAATAGTTGCTCTAGTAATTAACGCTTTATAATATTTATGGGTGTGATAAATCTTGAATTGTGTTACTGATAATCTCATACAGGTTCATTTTTCATCTTAGAGATTGAGTGATTTGTAAGGTTCAAACATGGTATTACCGTCATTTTACAAAGGAAGGGTAAAGTGGGATGCCCAAAAATACTGTCACAACTGAAATCCTGGGCTTGGTCTCCTAGGCCATAACTAAGGAAGAACCCAGCTTTGCCTCCCCCACACTCATTTCTGCACTGTCACTAGATGATTTGATGCCTCCCCATTCTACTAAAGTGCCTACAAGAACTAGGCTTGTATCAGAGTGCCTGGAGGCTTTGCTGGCTTGATTTGGTTTGTTACTCCTTTTTTGAATCATGATGATGCCTGTGTGATCCTAGCTGACAACTGATCGCTGGGTGCTTTGTAATTCTAAGAAGCCTAGATAAGAAGTGGAGTGATGATAAGACATGATATGAGCTACACCTCTTCAAAACAAACTCGAGGGAGAGAATTTCTTGGTAAAATCTTGTTGGGTGTTACCTAATGTCTGAAGTTTGTGTGGTCCATATTCAGCTTAGTGTTGCTTAAGATGGTCTGTGTACTTACATGCCTGTTGCCACAGGGTGACTGTTCTCTGCTTTTCCTAAACTGCAAGAAGTTGTGGGGTTTCAGGTTTAATCACGTTGGTGTTCGTTTTCGTAGCACAGGTGCAGCAGTGAACAGCAGTGAAAGCCTCCCTCCGTCCTCATCTGTCAATGACATCTCATCCATGTCCACGGATCAAACTCTGGCGTCTGACACGGACAGCAGCCTGGAAGCTTCTGCGGGACCCCTCGGTTGTTGCAGGTGACTAGCCGCCTGCCTGCGAAACCCAGCGTTCTTCAGAGGATGATGTAGTTGAGGAGGAAAAAGTAACACGAGTTAAGAGATGAAGAGAAATTAAAAAAAAAAAAAAAAAAGAAACAACAAAGATTTAAATGAAACAAACAAAAAAATCTTTCCAGCCTGCTTCTCCTACAGAATTATGTAATGCAGCTAAGCTCGAGTGTATATTTAACTTATAGTTGCTCTGCTTTGGTCTTCTTCCAATGATGCTTACTGGGGGGTAAAAAAAAAAAACAAAAAAACATGGATTATTCTAATCCATGTTTGGTTTTTTTTTGTCTGTCCCCGTAAGATGCAAAATTAATGGCTGCAAAACCAGCAACTTGCAACTGTCCTTTTCACACTGGCATGACAAGGTGTGCAGTAACCACTCTAAAACATCCAAGTGTATATCTGCCTTCACTTTCTGTTCTGTTGTCTTCTGCTCACTGAGGCAGAATATACAGGCATTTTTCTCCTTATACAAATAGCACACACGCCAACAGGCTTCTGGCTGTGTATGCAGCTGTGTGCCTATAGGAGCACGTGCACCTGCATACATCCTCAGTATGCACTCCACAACTAAATGGCCCGTTTCAGGTGAACTGCATAAATACTTCTGTGATACCACCAGTACACAGGCTGTTTCCTTGGTCATTGATGAGGTTGCATCTCTTGCATGAGGGTTTGTGGAAGTGAAAATAACCACAACGAGCTGCGGCTCCCTCAGAGACTTGAAGATGTAGCACCAAAATTTCTGCTGAGAATTGTTATGTATATTTTGAGATAATAACCAGTTTGTATTGAAAGAAGATGCCACAGAGCTGCACATGAAAATGTGTGTGAATATTAGGAATTGTTCTGATTTTTAGAGCAGATAAGCCAGGCTAAGACCAGGTTAGAAGGAAGCACATGTATCTTTGCAAGTTACAGGGAACAAGAATGAATGGTTTTTACGCGTGTTTATGCCCAGAAAGCTTCATCTCAGCAAGCAACTCTTCCTGTCAATATTGAGTTATCATCTTAGCTTACAAATAGGCTCACTACTGTGAGTTCCAGCTATGTTTATGTCTTAGGGGGTATGAGAAGGTTGAGGAACAGGTAGACTGGTCAAAAGGACATGCAAAATTTGATTTTATTTCATGTGTATGTTTTTACTGAGTTAAACAAAGGAAATTTGCAACCCTCTCCTCGGTGTGTTTGCAGCTTAGAGATTGTTCTCCCTTTAATCATTCCCTTAGAGGAGCCTCCACTACTAAGAGAACAGGCTGTCCTGGATGCTTTTGGCTGTTTACTTGCTCGTGGCAAATCACCTAACTCCCTGGGAAGTTTTACCAGCTGTGTTACATGGACAAGATCCACACAGTGAGTGGGTCTAGTATTCCTGTTCTCTAATAACAAAGAGTTGTAAGAATAGACAAGGATACAGATCAGTCCAGTTCTGACAAGCACCAAAGAACTCGGGTTGTGCCAGAGAATACGTAAGCTTCCCAGTGGTAAGTGACAGCAAGTGTTTGTATCGGAGAAGGGCAAAACTACACATTCCATTTCAGAACTGAGTATTTTTCCAGTTAAAACAGCAACTGGCATTTTCCACTGCAAGAGCATAATCACCTGAGCTGGAAATTAACTACGATGTGTGTCATCTCTCCTCTTGCCAGTGTGTGCCATGTAAAACAAAATGACATAACACTGGAATGCTTTTCCAAAAGTCAAAAAGTTTTTTTTTTAGTATATATTATTGGATACTTTAAAATCACTCATCATTGCATATTCAAAATTCTCCAAAAATATAAGTGTTCACTTAGGTGGCTTACAAACGTACTGTTCTGCAGTATGAAAAAAAATTTGAGTAGCAACTCAGTTTTTCTTCCAAGGGAAGAAAACAAAAGGAAGCTTCTCTTCAGGGTGGGGAGGAGGGAAGATAAGAGAGATATGGGTAAAAAGTAGGTTCAGGTCCGGTGGTGGATCTGAGCTGCCTCCAAATTGCTGTAAGAAATGGTGTATTTTTTTTTCTCCAAGGATATTTTTGGTAGATTTTTTCTGGGAAAAAAAAAAGAAATTAGGTCTGTGATTTTCTAAAAACTCAGAGTAGTAATAGTGAAAGCAATAATTTACTACTGCTAAAACATTTAGCAATATTCTCTCTTAAGCCATGAAGCATCAAGTTGTTGTTCAGTGAGGTAATGCTCACTTGAAAGCCAGTGGTCATAGAAGTATTCAAAGGTAAACAGCAATGCTTTGTTAGGTATGAAGGCAATAACTCCAAGGGTGACTTCTTAGCAATAATGGAATGTATCGCCTCCAGATTTAAATGATAACAGGTATATATTAGTAGCGTTCAGATATCTAGCATCTGTTTTAAGTTCCTTATTTTTCAGCATTTTAGTGTGTTATTTAACCAACAAGAAAAAAAAAGAAAAACAAACTACTCTCAAAGCTAAGTGGAACTGCAAAAATACAGCAGATGCAGAGTGTAGGAATTAGGAATAATCACAGCTCATCGCCAGTGATGATATGGAGATGTGGCACAGGCAGTAGCAGAAAACCCATTTGTAGTAGATGGATGCTTGCAGATCATCTGTGTTTTATCTGACAAAGCCAAAAAAAACCCTACACATAGTCCAGTGGTATAATTTAGTCTTGTTTGATTTCCTGAGTGCTGGGGAGAGAACCGGTTACCACAGAAAATGTCCTGCAGATGGGCAGTAAATAACCCCCCAGCACAGAACATATACAGCTTTATTCCCAGAAGCCCTGATTCTGCTAAGCACCAGTGCTGTAAACACATTTTGTGGAGATTGTAGGGATGTGTGTCTAATTTTCTGAGTAGCATGTGCTTTTTTTTGTCCTTTGTTCAGCAGTGATCGACATAAGCATGTGTTTAAGTGCCTTGTCGAAATGGGGCCTGTAACAATTAGTGCATCTCGTTCTATCCTTCAATTAGTCAGCCTCCTCGGTGAGCAGCTCTGGCAGTGGGAGGAGACTTGGGGCAGTCCACACTGGACAGCAGAAAAAAGCCATTGACAAAAAAAAAAAAAGAAACAGCAATAGTTCCCTTCAGTCCTGGTCCTTGTATGGTCCTCTCCAAACTGAAGAGGCAGCCATCAGGTAGGAACAGCATCCTTTGTTCTACTTTTGCCTGGGAGGTTGGTGTAGTCAGCTGGTATCATACCGGAACGCAGTACCCTTGAATAATAGATGGCAGTGACGACAATCCGTAGCTACGCTAAGGTGCACAGGTATTTTTCTTTCAGATGCTGGAAGTTTGAGACCTTTCTCTTTATGTCTTGCTGCTCATTATTCCAATGTTCCATGCAGTGTGGTCATGATAAATGCATTTTTTTTTCTTGCCAATGATCTTTCAAGTCTACCTCCTAGATTATCAAGTTAGCACATAGTACTTGAGTAATAATTTCACCCCATTCTCAGGTTTGTAGCCGTATGTAGAATTGCCGCTGTTACAGGGATGTAGGAAGGGGGCGAAGCACGAAGATTTAATGACAGATTTTTCAGATTGTTTGGTCACTGAAGCAGCAACCTGCCTATTGGCAGAAGGGGGCATAGGTGTGTATTGTTTCTCAGCACGAATGTCAGCTGGACACCTGGGTATTTCTGAAAATATGCCACAGAGCTCAGCTGTATCTTAAGTGTCTGAATAGCCTAAGAAGTTCTGTCCCAGGTGGCTCACTTAAGATAACTATCAGCAGGGCAAGGAAAATGACAGGCATCATAATTATCAATGGCTAATCAGAGCACTAGCAGCAAAAAATAGCGTTGAGAAAGTAGAGAAGTCACTGATAAATGTTCCAGCTTTATTTTCAGGTGGATTACTTCTGGATAGCATGAGAAATTTGGAGAAAAAAAAAATACAAAAGGTCAGAATTGCTCCTAAGAGGTCTCTTTCCCTTTTCTTTTTCACTGGTGAGTTGAAATGAGGAAAAAGTATTGAGTTGCTTCAAACTGATGGAAGGTTATGTATGTTTTCAATCCAAAATGTTTTATAATTTTTGAAATCACTCTTCAGATGCTTACTCAGTAGTCAGAACAGTATCTTGTGAGTTTTGAATATATTCTGCTAGAATGTAACATACCTTCAGAGATTTCAGATATTTGTTTGAGGTGGTCACAAAGTGATTTATGCGAATCACGCTGTGGTTGGGAACCCTCCCATACTATCTACATTTCCGTGGCATAGAAACACACAGGAATCTTCAAGTCCGTGTTATATAAAAGAGAGCTTAAAATGCAGTGCAAGTATGGTAACTTACCAAAAGAAAAAGAAGCCACAGAAAGCCTGATGAGGTGCTTCCCTAGTGCACTGGTGTTTTTCTTCTGGAAATCATCAGTTCGTGCATGATGCTGGCCTCAAGAGATGACCCAAGCCAGATGATAATGTCACTGTGCCACTCTTCTAAGTTTATAACCAAGAGTGTTCATCTGTTAGGTTTTACCTTCACACATATTGCTTTACCTTTGGGATAATGATTCTGAAGAAATTAGACTTGTTGGCGTGCCTTTAGGATTTTTTTTTGAAAATATTGCTACTAAATTGATTTGGATTGGTGCTCACTGATAAACATTACAGGACACAGATTGCTTTTCCCCCAGCATCCCGTCTCATGAAAATATGCTAACAGTTAAGATGAAAACTGCCTGAGGGAGTCAGTTTGAGCAAATTTCCCACCAAAAAAAAAAATATGTTTTGAATATCCTGAAATCGTTGTAAAATATACTAGAAATATTTTAATTCAAAATAACTTTTAAAAGCCACAGTTAGTTGTATTATAAATATTGCAGTATTTAAAATGATCAAATAATTCTAATTGCAGGTCTTTTTGTATACTGATGTTTTAAATCTTCATGCGAATTCAAACATGCCTAACAACGACAATAACACATTTTCCGACAAATGCTGCGTGCTTACAGGGACAGCAATGGGCAAGGCAACCTGCAGGGGAGAATTAGGCTTTCCTTTTAATGGTCTGGCAAAAAAAGAAGTTTGAGTTAGTGATTTACTTTACATTTATGGTGTGTGTGTGAACGCGCAAGAAAGAGAGGGAGTGCAAATGGATGTGATTTTTAGAACTTCACCTTTGTATTCATATTTGATTCAAATTCTCATTGTGGATAAAGAGCATAATTGTAACTAACATAATCACACATCTTCAAGCATCTGATGGCTGTGCTTATTTGAACTTCCACCACTTTACAAAGGACACGGTTACCTATCTGCAAGCTCAAGGTTATTTTTTCACACACGTGCACACCAAAAGAACATAATTGTGCATAAGGTTTGAATATTCCACACATAAATAATGTCTTAATTAGAAAGATAGGGAGCACAGGGGAATGGTGAATGTGTCATCTTCACTGATGAGCTGTAAAATAGACCTGTCCAGTGGAATTTAGTGCAGTCTGCTTAACATATTAGGAACTTGCCAGTGCAGCCTGATTTTTTTATTTTTTTTTTCAAATTAACTATCAATTGTGAGAGGTGAACTGTTTAACTTCATTTCTGTTCAGGCTCATCGACCCATGGCAAGTTTGAGTTTTAAGAAGGGTTTGATTTGACAAAAGAATGTTGAAAAACTCCAGCTGAGGCTTATGGTGCCTTTTTACCTGTGAGTGAAAGGATGAAAAGCACATATTGAAGGAAGACGGTCAGTTTGGGAAATAAATGTATCCCTACCACGTTTATCGTTTCAGACAGGTAACCCTGTCTCTTTTGTTAATTTTCACTGAACAGGGCCATTCTTGTCTTCTGGAAAGCAAGATATTTATAATGTAAATAGTTGTATTGAGTTTTTTTTCCTGTAACTAATATGTAATAATCCAACACACGACTACTGATAGACCTTTTTGCAGTAAGGCCACTGTATGCCTAAATATGGTCGACCTCTGACCTCTTCCTAAGTCAGTCATGTGCTGAAAAGGAGGGTGCTGGAGGTTTCAATGTACATAGAGAATCATGTATATTTAGTAAATGGAGTAAGTGGGACTTATGGCCAGTATATATTAAAGCCACAACAGTAACAAAGCTCCAGATCTTAACTAGCAAAAACAACTGTTCACCTTGCCATGTCCATCTTGTAATAAGATCTAAGTTGCACCTGCCTGTAGTTCTGCATGATCAGACTTCAAAGTATAACTAACAAGATCTGTAATGTATCAGTGTTGATAAACATAGTTAAAAAAAAGAAAAAAAAAAAAAAAGGAAAAAAAAAAAAACTCAACCAACAACAGAAAATCAACAACGGCAACAGTTTCGTATCAAGACTGGAAGATGAGACATGTCCAATTTGTTGCACGGTTGTAGCTGAAAGCTGGAACCAGCGCCAGCGTGAGTGGACCGCAGTAGTGACGTCTGTTAAGGAGCCGACCTTTCTTCCGTATTGTTTTGTTCTTACCCTGTTATTCTCTGACTCTCTGTTGTTCCCTGTGTGGATACAGGGGAGAACTCCACCTCAGTCATCAGTGTTTTATGGGTCAATGTTGCATCAATGATTTCTGATTTCTGTTCATTTGTCAATTACTGAACTAGGACGGGAACTTCATTCTCTCCACTTGTCAAAAGGAATCCTGTCAGAGCTTCCTCATGGAGTTACTTCTCACTGCTGTCCTGACTCCTGTCGGTTGGATGACTTTGCCATGTTCCCAATAAACAGCACAATGCAGTAAACCACATTGATCGAGGGCTTCATTAAATGTGTTGTGCATCTGTACTCTCGCTGGGGCTCAAAGTCATGCAGGGACAGGACTCAATTCAAATATGGTATGTACTCTATGCATGACGCCTATATTACACCTTTATGACCTTATAGTGGGGGAAAAAAAAAACTGCTGATCTTTACAGATGTGGATTCGGACCATCTTTTTGGGGGGAGGAAGGTTGTAGCGAATCTTGGTCCTTATCCTATGTGCCACTTGCTGCTATTCAGAGCAGCCAAGTGGAGGCTAAAGCGGAGCAAAGGCCGCCAAAGGGGGCCGCACACGGAGGTGAATTTCATGCTGTTTGAATGTGATCTTGCCAAAAAGCCTGTATGTCTAGCAGGGGAGACTGTGACTGTTCTAGAAGGAGTGTTGTGTGTTGTTTACTTAAAAACAAGCTTTGCTAATTAAAATAGTGTATTCTGGAGTCCTATTTGAATGGCATAAGGGGTTATCAATGAAAAAGAGGCCAAGTACATTCATGCAGTCCTCCTGGCATCTTGGTGCTTTTCCTGCAGTGCTCACTAGGGGACTCAGATCAAGCTGTAAACATGTGAAAGTTGCCAGGATTACAAAACCAGTTAGTGCTCCATGTGATGTGTTCCGTAGGCTTTACCCTGGCAGTCACCGCTCATTTTAGGAAGCAATTATGGCACTAAAGGCATGTAAAGGGACCTTAGTGTCTGTGAGACTCGGACTGTTTTCAAGTAGCTCATGAGTTTATTCCTCTGGTTGACTGCCTAAATATTATGTAGAAAAAAATGACGAGGTGACTGGACAGAATGAAGGAAAACAGCCAAGTAAAAGCTCTTTATTCCTTCTCCCATCTTCTCCCCCATTTAAAAAAAAAAAAAAAAAAAAAAAAAAAGTAAACCAAAATCAAACTAACAGCAACAAAATAGGAAAAACAACATACCAACTGTAGTTGTTATTTGTGGCCTGTCTTGGCCTGATTTTTCACAGAGTTAAAAGTACTTCACTCTGCTTCAAGTGAAAAGGAGCACAAAGGTGAGAAGTTAATGATACTGCACTATGCTTCAAGTGAAAAGGAACAGAAAGGTGAGAGGTGCTGCCTTTTGGAAAACACTGCTAGTTTTCTCCCTTCTTGCACAAGCTATCTGTGCCCTGTTTTATCTCCGAGTAAGTCAAACCATAATACACAATGGATTATGTTTGGATTTATCATGAGATTGAAAAACAAAACAAAAACACAGTCTTCTGTCAAAGCAAAGTGGTCTGGGGAGGGCTATATAAAAGAGGGAATTCAAGTACCTTGTAAGCACTATAAAGGGAGAAATTGTTAAGGTTTGTAGCTAAATAGCCTTTCAAACATACTGTGCAGAGCTGGTATTTTTGCTCTGACTTGCTAAAACAGGAGACTTTTCAAGGTTTATTTTTCCCCTATTTGTGTATGCCGAGAGTGGCTAAATTAAAAGTAATACAAACCTCTGGCTTCCAGTAACAAGGAAATTTGGGCTTTGTGATTCCTACTGCAAAATGGGGAAGATAGGGAACAGCTTTTTGGTTTCACTGGGTGCCATTTGAGACAAATCAAGATTCCTCTTTTTAAGAGATTGCCCTTTTTGGGAGTCAGAATTTTTATGATCATATTTCAGTTATATATGCTTCATTGAATCACTATCTGAAGCTGTGACTGTGATTTATTTTTACATAAACCCAGAGTCCTAAATTCCAGAAAATCTGGAGTTAAATTTGAACAGGACAGGCCTCTTAGAGTACCCCTTGGTATAAAACCGAAGTACCTTTTTAGCAACACACCAGCCTTGGAATTTTTCTCCTGCAGTGGGTTGCGGTGACAGCCTAATCATTACTTGCTTGGTAAGAGGTAGTGTGTGTTACATGCTGACCAGCTGCAGCAAGTCCACGGAATCATCTGTGCTGAAGCAGAGTTGAAGGCTGGAGATTGGACGGCTCCTGCAAACTCTCCTCTCCCTCCGCTTGATGCAGATGAGTGGGATGAAGGTCAGTGAACTACCTTTGTGCTCAAAGTGATGAACCACTGTGGTGTTAGGCAGCCTATTTAAACACACTGGGCCCAGTTCTCATTCCTTTACCGAATGTATGGCTGCTGTGAGCTGCATGTTAGTCATTTTCTAATTCGATGATCGAGTTGAAGATTTTTTCTTCTGTGTGGAGCCCTTTGCTGGGGGTTGCTCAGTGTTAGCTACGTTTCTGTGCCCTGATGATTAAAGAGCAAAACTGTCATCAGCTCCATTCACTGCCCTGTGGCCCAGACTCTCCCCAAGTCCACACTGATAAACACTGAGGCAATCTTAATTTCCTCGTGCTCTCCCAAGCCCTTGTTAACTGCACAGTGTGGAGCCTGAACTGCAGATCTGCCGTGCCTCCTAGAAAACATGATTATGGGTACAGTGTAGGGAGTGAGGGAGGAAGTTTAGATGCTTAAATTAATACTCATTTGCTGATGTATCCATCTTAGTTTAAAATGGACTGCAGGGTAGGAATAAGTGTTGATTGTTCTTGATGCTTCTCTGTGATGTTCTGTCCACATTCCAGGTGCACTTAGTTGTGGAATAGCAATTAGGGTGCTGGAGAAAACAGCTGGCTCTCTGAATATGGCTATTTAGTGGACAGACTGCTGTTTTTGTTAACTAAGTCTCATCACAGGGGGTGTAATCTTCCAGATTTTAGCCTTTCTAGTGTCATTAGCCTGGAACTAACAATGGGACATTTAACGTGTTTCTTGGCTAAATATGAAACATGAATTATTCCCACCTCTACTTCATGTGTAACGCTGGAGAAGAAGGTGAATTATCTTGGATTCCTACTAACTCATGAGACAGAAATTGTGAAGGAGTAGCTGCCACAACAAAACAGTCCTTCAGTTTTTGAAAATGTTTAATGAGTTAACATGTGAAAGAGGTGGAAAGCTATACAATCTCCCATTCCTGCATTTAACCCAAGCTAGGTAAAGACCTGTCTGCTGTTGCAGGATTAAGCTATTATAGTGATTAAGAAATTGACTGCAGATAACTACGAATTTTTTTAAGCCTTGATCTGTCATCAAGTGTTCATAAAGAATAACACATTTATTATTTGTTTTGGAAGATAAATTTATGCCCATTCTTTGCTGGATTTGTCCTCAGCATTGTCTAGGTGATGCTCCTGCTCTTGGAGTAGCTTTACCTTTTCAGTTCCATTGCATCATTTTGGATGGGAAAAGATTTGTTTGGAGTATTTTCAGAAGTTCACGTGATCACAGCTAGAATAAGGATTCACTTTTTGGTTCTGTTCCTTTTTATATATGAATAATGACCCAAAGTAGTCAAATAACCGAAGTTGTGGTTTGGAGGTAGCTCACCAAAGGGTTATGTTAAATGTCCCCACCCCACATTTGTTCTCCAGAGAAGTCTGCCTTGCAGGAGAAAATTTGTGGATGTAGGTGTTCCAGAAGGAATGGAGATTCTTTATGTCAGCCTCAGTCCAGAATTAACAGGATTTGAACACAGACAAATTTGGAATGTGCACAAAAGGTCTTTTCAGTAAAATTGGAAGTACTGTAGGGCCCAGCAAGTAACTGAGGGGGCTGAAGGATGACACTCTGGTTTTAAAATCAGTGAACAGTAGGAGAAACAGTCCAGTAACGAAACCTCATGGCTGGATTCCAAAGCATTTCAGTGTTTCAAGCAGCCAGAGCACTGTCCAAAAGCCCCTTCAAAAGCTTAATACCATGTAGCAGATAGGAATGCATGCTACAACGCTGCTGCAGAGCATGAGTCGTCTAAGAATTTTAATGTATGTGTTTCTGAATTTTTATTACATAGTAGTTGTAGGATTATTACGATTCTCTATGTAAAGAAAGATTCTCCATTTTGGCAACATGCAGACATCCCATAACGTTTTTTTCACCATAAAGGACAAACACCGCAACACAACACCATGCTGCTGACTGCAGGTGGGTGAGTGGGAGAACGTTGGCCAGGTTTCAGGGGAGTTGTACTCATCGGTTTTGATTTTCTGACATCCTTTTGTCACAAGCTCAAGACACTGTTAGTGGAAAGGGCAATAAAATTACAGTATTATTGCTAAAGTAACTCATTGCCAACAGTTATATGTGATTTCTGAAACACGAACTAAGTTTTAATTGCTCTTTTGGTCATAATTCCTAGCATTAGCAAATTGACTGAATAACCAAGCTGTCAGTCAGTTTGAGCACTGGATTTTTAAGCGGTTAGCACTGAGACTAATGTAAACAACTCACTTTTACTGCAAAAATTCACTGGCACCGCTGCGTAATACCAAATCCAGAGGGACTACAGTTCCGCATCAGTTTTTCACTTAGTTGCAACAGCTCACTGGACCATCCTGCAGTTGGGAAAAAAAAATAAATCAAGAGTGTGCAGTACAAACAGTTTTTTAAAGCTGGCAGAGGATGACAGCCATGGTCGTTCCAGCTTCTGCTTTGTGGGATGAGATCCCCTATCCTAGGCTGACATTGCACTCATCTTACTCCCCTGAACGTGATGTTTGCAGAGCTGTATAGACACAGCTGCTCCCTCGATCAAGGAAAATGCTTGATACAAGCAAAGAGTGCCACCTAAAGGCAAATGTGCTGAAGGCTCCGTGGTGAGCCAAATTCAGTGAGCCCTTCAGCATGTAAATCACCTGCTTGTTGCATTTCTTCTCCAGCCAGACTGACCTTGGACAGTTCATCCTGTACTTGATGGTCTGGAGCATTTCTTGGACAAAGCTAGTTCTACATTTTCAGTAAGTTTTCATTATTTTTTGTTTTCCAATAAAAGCTGTGTATGAAAGTGTGTAAACCCCTCCCTTTAGTGTAGGAGATAACAACAAGGTGCTCAGATGAGCAGTAGGTGATTGTGGCACTGAGCCAGTTCTGTGTGTGGGTAGATTTGGCCATCATTGATCTCTACAACATGATTTGGAGTTATTGAAGTAACAGTCCACCAAAAAAAAAAAAATAACAAAAGAAATTATGTTTTAAGAATTTTCAACTGTCTGGTCTGCATCCAAACTGAAATTACACAACAAAAATTTCTTCCAAGATAATTTCCAAAGATATAGCTAAATAGATGTGCTAGGTAAGCGAGCATCTTTTCCCTTTAGTTAGCTCAGCCACGAGGCAGCAGTATAATGAGACACTGCTGTCATGCAGGGAAATGGCTTTGTGCTAAGTTCTTTTAACCACAAATCTCTGCTCCAGTTGTTTGGGTTTTGTTTGTCTTTTTATATCCAGTTTTACAGATGGGCTTTCTCTGAACCATACCATGTGTGCAGTTTCTGGTAACATTAACAGAGCTTTCTGACTTAACCCAGTACCTTTTGGTATCTGTGCACAACCTTTTTCTGGTTAAATTACTATACTTAACACAAAGCAATTCCCAAACAGGAATTTGTTGCTCATCTCAGCTTTCTGTTCTCTGAAGACTCGTCTTTGGTGAGCTCTGCCCTGGTGCTGTATGGGCTGTCTCCAGCCACTCCAGCTATACTCACGAGGCAATATAGATTAAAAAAATATATATATATAGTGAAACTGGAAACTTAGAAGAGTAAATACATATCTTAAATGGTAACTTTTTCTAAAAATTATATATTTAAAAAAAAAACTAAACACCATGGTATATCAATCTGTCATTGAGTCCATGTTTCCTGTGTTTAGTGGCTTTAGAGACTGACCGGTCTTATGTCCAGTGCGGTGTGTAATGCAGTAACATCTGTCTTGTTATCCAGGAACAACGTTTGTTGACTGCTCCTAGTACCACAAAATATACAGAGGTCAACCTTATCGTACTACTAATTATTCCTTGTAACAACTTCTTGTAGCGGTGGAAACAGTCAGGAGTGGCAGACTGAAGTTCAGAGAAATCAGACTTGACTACTGTGAGTAATGCTAATTTCAGCTAAGCTTTCCTTAAGATTTGTACAGTTGAGCCTGATGGTCCCATACAGAGTAAACAGTGTAATATTCTAGAAACCATAAATCTTGACAAGTGATGCAGTTTATATCTTCTGGTTTTAAGGTCTAGTGCGTTTCTTTATTAGGGGCTACTCTGTCAGCTTAGGAAATGAGCCCTCTTAAAGATAATAGCAGTCAGTAATTACCACATCTCTCACTTAACCATGTCAGAGGAGCTGCTTAAAATTACGATTACATCTAAATTCCTGTTACTTTGCCCTTAAGAAGTATTGCAAGTCAAGAAAAAAATACGTAGGTGATATTTAGTTAATATGCAGGTAACAGCTACACAATATATTAAGTGCACATGAGGTGTTTTTGTTTGTTTGTTGTTTCTTTGTTTTCCACAAAAGAAAATTAAATGGAAGAGCAGCAGTCAGAGCAGTATCAACTACCTCAAAAACTGCAATCAATTTTTCCAGATATCCCGACGAATTTATTTTTGTAAATCGGAATCTACTAAGTCCTGAGCCAAGCAATGAGTTTGTATCAGGTTTTTAAGTATGAATTACAAGCGTGTGTGTTTCATATGTCAGTAACTCTTATCACAATGCTGAATATACTCAAAGGCTACTTAAGTGAGTAAATGACGTCGTATATAGGCAGCAGTTGCTTTAAATTAGTGTGGTGTTTTGGAGAAATATCCCTGGAAACATTTTAGCACAATGGCTTGCCTTTTCTCTTTTTTCCACAACACTGAAACATGGCAATAGGCTTGCCCCCAGGTCACTGCACTGCAGAGGATATTTTACATTCTTTTCCTTTCATTCTTTCACTACGGAGGAGTTTGGTTGTCTCAATAGTAGTAACAAACTAATCTACTCTAGTGGCTTTTTTGCAATTACTCAAGTCTTCATACGAGAAGAGGTTGGATTTTTCTTTTAGGGGCTTTTATGTTGAAAGAAAATAAAGCAGGTTGTTAAGGAATGTGGGACTATAGTTTCAGCCAAGCTGTGCAATTAATCAGGACTAATGAACTGATACGCTACTGGACTGTTGAGCAGCCGGCTGAAACAGCCCTGACAGTGTAAGTAATCCAGCTCTGATGCTGCGTTCAGCGTTTTGAACTGATGAATGACCGCCTGACAGCCGTGCTGGCTACAGCCATCACTCTTTTAGGAAATACCTCATTTAGCGAGCACAATAGAACAAAGCCATACCTGCTAATTGGGAATGGTCTTACTGTAGCAATTGGATGTAAATAATACCAAAGCAGAGGCCAGGTTCAATAACACGCGTGCTGCTGTAGTGCCAGGCTTTTGAGACTTCGTGTAAGATTAGTGCCCCTGAAACACATGCACACAGGCACATGGGTTTGCGCTGCAGAGGAGCAGTGGACTCCCCAGCATTTCTCTCCATGGCAGGAGGACTCTGTTTCTGCACAGATTTCTGAGAGCAATTGCTGGTGTGGGGGTAGTGGCCTTTGATGTCGGATAATTCGACTTGCAGGTTTTGCTTCAGTTGACATATGATGTTTTCCCTGGGGCTCAGTAATGTGAACTGGAATGTTTTTTTGTCACAGAGGCTAAGAACTGGTCTTTGGTTTGCCCGTGGGAGGGAGGCCTCTGCAAACAAACTCATACAGATTTCACCTACCCATCCAGATCGTTTCAAACCTAAAAGACTGAGGCAGGCAGCTCCGAGTCTGGGAAAGAAAATTACTATTCTTCAACTGAGCAGGACTTAAAATAGCAATTAAAAGGACTAACATGACGGTGATAAAAGTACAGGGTACGTACTCGTACCCTTTAAAGTTTAACCCATGTTCAGGCAAAACCTCCTCCACTGCCTAAGAGGAAATCTGGCAGAAGGAGGTCAGCATCAAGGTCAAACTTTATATACAGATGGAGGCAGAGAAAGAAACTGTTTAACAGCTGAGACTAAATGTAATTATTTTCTGGAAAATAACTGAAGAAATAGCAACTGAAGCAATTTTGGCTTGTTTTTTGTTAGTATTGATTGTAACTGATTTTTTTCTGGCCTGAGAGGGAGGTTAGAGCAGTGCAGTAAGAGTGTGAGAGCCCCATCCTCTTCTCTGCTCCCAGCTCCTGGAACTTCCACTCCAAGTACCACCAGACTTTTCAGAAAAGTAAACTCATTTCAGGAAATTTCTTATTTATGTCTCCTGTCCTGTATTAGTTATATTTTTAGAAGGGAGGGGGAGGAAGGACACTGTATAGATTTTAAAGTTCCTCCGTATGAATAAATACTCCATGTATGATTGAAAATAAAAGCGAGTCTTTGAAATCTGAGCCATAGTATGGGCTGCTTTATAGACTTTTACCTCATGAACACCACCTCTTTAAGAGTACTATTATTATCAAATGCAGCACAACCATGTTTGGGGATTGCCCACAGGAGAATAGCCAAGCAAATAAAAAAATTCTGCCTTGTAATTCAGAGATACTGGACGCAATGCAGTTCTATGACTCTGTATTGTGCAGGTACTCTGGGTGGTGGTGAGCATTAGATATGACAAGGTTTTCAGCTACTTCCTTCACTTCAGTTGAAGACTGAGTAATATGTTGATCGAATACACTGAATTTGCTGCCAGGATTAATTCTGCTAGGTTTTTTTCTAATACTTAGGTATTCAAGAACAGCATAAAAATATTAGCTATCCTTTAGTACGTGGATTACAACTGTTTCTCTAATTACTCAAATTGATTTGCAACCACAGCCCTGAGGATAAACTTTGTTTTTACTCTAGAGATTGCTCATCGTTTTACATAAAGCTATAACCTTTATTTATTGACAGATTAAATTAAAACAGAAATGGGAAGGTACTCTGATAAAAAGCAAAGTGCTTTTCATGCTGTATCCTGGACGCTAGTCTTCTTGCAATTTTATTTAGAATACTAGATAAGAGTGAAACATCCCCTTTCCAACAGTGTCTGAAGTTTCAACACCGTCAGGATTTTCCTTCAGGTGATAAAAGTTTAATTAAGTTTTATGGAATGAAGTCCAAAACACATTAGACTTTGATAAAATAAATCCTATGGTTTTAAAAAGTGACATTGCATTGATATATATTTAGGCTGTCAGGATGCCCATTTTGTTATCTATTGTGTGCTCCCATTTTACTGTCTTAAGAGTGCTGCCACACATTGAAGTTTGCCACTTGCATAAATGCTACTGCTCTTTTCTTATTGTCAGCGCCCCATGACTCCTCATGTCTTACTGAAAATGCTACAAATCAGGACTGGCTATCTGTAAACAAACCCTAAACACATAACTTCAAAATGCAGCTTCCTAAACTGACAACTTAACTTCCTCAGAAGGCTGCATCTCCATTCAAAGGCATGTGCAGAACACTAAACATCTGCATCTCCTCCATCTGTTTTATAAAGAATAAGAAAATGTCAAAACCAGGGATAATAAGATGTCCACTAAGGAACATCTGCTATGGTCATGATGCAATTTTTTATTATCCTGCACCCAGTCTGAATTAAAATTTGCACAGGCCTCCCTGTATTTAAGAACCTGTAAAGCAGAATATTAATTTATTATCAATATAAAAAGATTAATTACATTCCTACAGCATGGAATAAATAGAGTTGAGAGTTGTTATTGTTTAATTCAACTCTGAATGCTGAGCTGTGCAGAATAGCAAGAGACTGAAAGTAAATGTATCTATAAAGAAAGTCAAAGCTAGTCCAAAGAAAATTGATGTATAAACATTTCACAGTGATGTCAGAATTTCTCATGTTTCACTCTAAACAAGTAATTCTGCAGGGCAGAAGGGAAGAGGAGGCTTCCAAAAATGGGGTATCTGTTAAAGGTTTGGCTGATACAAACACAGTGCATGTTGGGATGGTAACAATCTAGCGCTTTCCTCGACAAGCCTTTCTGCTTAGTGGTAAATTCCAGGTTTTCAGCCATGCTCATCTGTTTACTTAAATAACATTACGGGACCTTGATTTTGGTGAGAACTGTGCTATTCCAGAAGGCTGTCTGTTCTGATGTTTTGAAGGAGCCAGGGGTTTTGGTCACAGCGTGCATGCTTATGGCATGACAACTGTGCCAAGAAGGTACTGTTCCACTGCAAATACTCAGAGGGTATTATCCAAAATATAAAACAGTCCAACACCCACGCATACAGATGGCAAAACAGACTGAAAGATTCAGTAACATGCTAAATCCATGTGCATTTCTGATTTTGTTCATTATTTGTTTTAACAGTCAGAGAAAAAATGTCCAGGGTGAAAAGGCAGCTGCTTTGTTTTTTTCCAGGGCAGAACAACGTGCATCCGACCACAGTCCCATGTGTAAAGAATACCTTTCAGTTCTGCAGCATGGCCAAGACAACGCCAACAAAGTCAGATGAGATTCAGATTTCTTAAACCATCTGTGGAAAGAGAGTAGTTGTGCAGTGAAGTGTGTTCTTGGGCTACACAAGAGTATGCACAGTGTCAAGCCAGTCCTAAGTGGGCAGTATTCTAAAATAGCTGTTTCAGGATTATTGCTTGGCCAGTATTCTGGAATAGAAAGCACTTCAACAGTGCAGTAAAAAAATATCCTCTGGACCCCCTGTTGGTAATAATTACCCAACAAGGTAACAAGGACTTCACTCGGAGCATTAGCAGGTACAGTTAATCAGTGCAGCCCCACTGACTTCAGCGTATTTATGGCAGCATCAGTAAATGTTCTTGCTTGCAACATCTCCCTTCATTGCATTTCATTTTCTAGAACCGAATATTTCTAGCCACACTCCCTGTGTTTAATAACGTACACGAACATTGTAAGTACTAGTTAGGAAAATGGAATAATGGCACTTGCAGTGGTGTATACAAATGCTCTTAAAGGAAACAAAAACTGATATGACATTTTCAAGGTCAAAAATCAAGTCATCTGCTACTGCGAGGGGTAAGTCTCTTTTCTTCTGAGGGTAAGTTTCAAAAGCAGATGATGATGTTGCTGTGTTGGGGACACCAATTGTCAGTCAGTCAGCTTCAGTGAAATCTCCTGGACCAGGAACTGGACTGCAGTGGGTCAAGAGAAAGTAAATGCATACAGCCCAAATGCCTGCTGATGAGTTAGTGGTTCATGCATACGGTATTTTTCAATTTATGAAGACCTCCCTATGCCTTTTTGTGTGTGTTATTTCTGCCCTTGAAACACAAGGATAACTCTAACTAAAGGACTTCGTAAGAAAAAATCCTTCCCCACACAGTGGAATTTTGGAAGGAATTCCTCTTTTTTCTGTGTTTTCCAAATCACTTACTGAGATTGCTTTGATTTTCCCTTGTTTTTCTGCACAAGTACTTTTCTTCTGAGTACTACTTTATGCATCGTGATTCTTGGTGAACTCAGAGCACAACAAGCAATATATATATTTTTTTCTCAATTGTTAGGTACATCTGCTTTTAGCCCCCAAATTTGGGTTGTCTACTCATGGAGCAGAAACCACAGCATTTGACTTGGGTGTGCAGTCACTTAGTCTGCTTGAATAATTCTGACGACTGAATAAGTAAACAATACTTGTTTTGAACATACATGAGCCGTCTTCAGGCTCATGTTTATTTATACACACGACTGATCAGACGAATTAGAAAATAAGTTCACAATTTACATGCTGCAGAATCACAAAACAGAGAGCAGACTTCTCCAGCTAAATACTTTGGCAACTTTTGAGCTTATGTACTTTCAATTCTCAGACTTGTTCTACTTACTGGGTAAGTTTCTTGAGCACTGCTGGCAGAAACTAGCCTACTGTCAAAAAGAAGATAGCTGATTGGTATTAAAATCATGTAATGTCACATCTGCTTCTTTTTAGGAAAAGGAAAATCTATGGTGAGATGATGGCACCACTGGATGGAAAACAAACAAACAAAAAAGTCTCTTGTATAAAATAATGTCAAGCTTGCTTATATAAAATACACTGTTCCTATTGGTATAAGGCAGCCATAACAGCACTGTTTTTAAAAATACCAATATATTTCTATAGGAAGAGGGAAAAGTTCTTCAAATTTTCAGTGACTCCTGATAAACTTATTTGCCATAATTCAGGTTTTGACGTCCACTCTTAGGCAGCCTAAAAATGTGGCTACTCTCCTCTGGTGATTTCATATATAATGTTATTCCTACAGCTATTTAGCAATTATAAGCTCATTTAGATTAAAATAAAAAATGAAAATTACATTCTTTCCTACTTTGTTGCCTGCGTGTACGTAATATATGGTTAAGTTCGCTTGTCTAAGTCTGCATATGATAAGCCTTGGAGACAATACTTCTATTTAAAAGTGGTAAAGGAAATAATTGATGCCAAATAGTTTCCTGTAATAGAAAAGACTTCCTTCCCCCCAAACAAATCTAGCGAAAGGCTGCAGATTCAAAGCCCCCTTATCTGAAGCTTCATTTTGAACTGTCATGTTAAGCAGGTAAGTCAATAACAGACTTGGTCACAGTGAGTTTGCATGCATCCCCTTGGTTTTCATTTTTATTTTTTAACAGGAAACTAATAGAGTGTGCTAGACGTTTTGTTTCACTTTTTTTTTTTCCCCTATTGTTTTAATGTTTCTCCTTTTTTTTTTTTTTGTTCTACTGGTTGAATGAAAGCTGGCCAGCTTCTGCCTCCATCTATGAGACTTCAAGTCAAGACTCACCAGGGTCTTTCAATGATGACAACTCCTTCATGTACTAGCACTTTTCAGAATGCTGGACAAATACTGTTTCACGGGGAAGCCTCACAGCATTAAAGGTATGTATAAATTAACCTTCGTCAACTTTCCCAGTTCATTTCTGGCTAATTACAGTCCACTCACACAGAAGGATGTCCCCATTTGGCCTGAGAGCAGGAGCAGTCAAGGTTGTGACAGCTCACACCCTGCTTTTATTGACAGCAAACTCTCTGTTGCGGGATAACTGCTGCCTACAACATTGGTGTTGAGCTCTGGTTCTCCAAAATCCTTTGCACTGACTCTCGAGAGGACCGTTTGCTACTGATGGTCTGCAGAAAGTGCAAAGCGTCTGCACTAACAAAGAACAACCTCTGTCCAGGTATACGAAAAGTTCAGAGCTGGGGTGAAATGAAGGAAATAAGGACTGCATGCAATGGCAGAACATGAAAATATGTGTAGTCAGGGAAAGCCGGAGCCGTTACAGAAATGGTCTATCACTATGCAAGGCATAGTCCTTAGCAGGACAGAAAAATGCAGTAAGTAGAAAATGTACTACTGCTCTGTTTCTAAGCCTGAAAATAGTCTGTTCATCATGAAGTTGTCAAAGTACTTATCAATGGAGAACCTTTGCTACATGAGGATCAGAAAATATGTTGTGGAAAAACATATGCCATTTTTTTCTCCAGAAGTAATGGCAGTTTCCCTGTTCTGACCTCAAGCAGATCCACTACGATATGCATCACAGGGTACTACATGTTATTTGTACTCATGTGGTCCAAGTAATAAGAGCACTCCATTAATGACAACCTCTGTACGTCTTTCCTCCAGCTCTGACTGGTAATGTGGTTATGCTTTATGATCACGGCATGCTATGATTTGAATATATCCCATTGATATATTCTGCGTTCATGGTAAGTGCGTGTTTCTTGGGGCACAATTATTTTCTGTCTCCCTGCACTGTGATAAATTTCAAAGAGATGTGGACAACGCAACCAAATCCTAGTACAAGAAACAGAAAAAAAAAAAAAAATGTGTTTTCTGCTTAAACACTTGAAATTGAACACTTGAAAAAGCTCCTTTGAGAACTATCATTTTAGAATGAGATTGTTCTTCGCACTGGTGGTAACAAGACAGAAGGAGCAGCTATGGCCTGAATTCTTACCTCTTTAGGGTGCGTGTGCTGTCCCAGATGGGTGGTACAGGAGCATTTGGTGGTTTTGCTGTTATACAGCCTCAGTCTCTGTTCAGTGTTGATGCTGTGCTACGGACTGCTGTTGTCTGAGGAAAGAGGAGCTCTGTCGGTATGCCGTTGTTGCCTGAGAAAAGAGGATGCATAAAGGGCTTGATGATGCTATAAAAAGGAAGGTAGCACCATGTGACATTGCATTGGTTCACTGTATATTGTTATTTGTTGCATTAATGCATCTGGCTATCATGGCATGTTTAATGACAAAGACTGAACGTAATTGACATCAGATCCATTCCATGACTGAGAAGTAGTTACTGCAATTAGTCATGTGATAAGTATACCTGGAACATTTTATGCTTGGATTCTTTAAAATATAAGCTGCCAAAGAGTATGAGGTACGGTTTCTTTGATTTTCTTAGGTGGCACTGGTAAACTGGTTACGTTGGTGTCAAGCTAAAGAGTTTCAAACTCAGAACGATAAAAGTTGCTCAAAAAATCAGAACGTTTTTGCATGCTGACTCTGCCTGTATGTACTAGGTTCTATTGCAAATGTAGCCTGAAATGCTCCTTGCATGCAATGCCCTGTAATTTATAAATGTGCTGCGTAAAGATTTTATTTAAAAGGATAAACTCGTGGTTCCACCATAAGGAAGTAGTTTACAAAGAAGCCCTTTGAAATTTAAATAAGACAGTCTTCTACCTGACAATCTCCACAGTTGCAGGGAGAAAAGGGTATGTTTTATATTCAAAGTAGCGCAGGACGTATTATGAAAGGTAGGGAAGTGAAAACAGATGAGTAACTACTGCTATGTGTAGCCAGAAGAAAACCTACCAGCAATTAAGCAGGAGGCAGATTCCTTCTGGACTACCAGCTCTTCTGTAGGAAGAGCATGAGAGTGGAAGTCAAAACACATCGTCTCGAGTGCCAGTGCCTTGCACCGGGTTTCCTGTGTAACCCAGAAAATGTCAGGTCACACCTGGGTTCTTCCTCTTTGGAAATGTGAATAGTATTACCTTACCTTACGTGAGATTTAGCATATTAGTGTAGGAACTGCTTTGAAAGTTTCAAGAGGCAGGAGCTACAGCAGTGAGAATATTATCATGCATACAATGACACATGAAATGATACAATTGGAACTGTAAAGTCAGAATTGAAAATTAAGTACTTAATTAACGCTCAACGCACGTTGTCAAGTGTTCCCTTCACAGGATATCAGACAATAATGTGGCTTTTAGGAAGCAGAAACTTTTCCAAGGGCGTGTTTCTATTGCAAGCTGTTTTCCGTCTCTGCTTGTTCTAAAAGTAATTTATGACCAGGGGATACTGAAGAAATTTCTCTTTAGGGTTAATGACTGTTATGCGTTCTGTTAAGCTTTCCAGCTCTAGAAATACATAGTACAACAGCAACATAAAAAGCACAGGCTGTCCAACATACTGCTTCATACTTCAAAATAATTTCCAGTTAACAAAGCAGTAAAATGCCACTAGGAGAAGCAATGTAATGAAGCTAAATACAACTAGGAAAGAAGTTTCTTAAAATGATCCACATGAAAAATGTAATTATTTTAATCACCAGAGTCAATGTGGAACTTCTACAGATGTTCACACACAATTCACATTGAAGTCCACTAGTGGTTGACATACTCGGTATGTCTATGACATGATATGTATTACTGAAAATAAAACTTACAGAATTAGAGGGATGCCCCGTACTCTGTGTGCAGAGTTCACCTCTTTAAAAAGAGCCTTGATTTATAAGTTGTGAGATCAAAACTAGCTGGTAAGGGCTTGCAAGAAAAGTAACATTACCATGGCAGCTTGGTGATAGTAAGCAATTAGGAAGTAAATGTGAAGTCTTGAAACAATGCCTGCACAAATGTATAGACATGCAGTTATTCCAATACAATTAAAAGTAACCCAATTCAGTAGGCAAAAATTGTGTGGAAAAGCTGTAGCTTCTCCAGTTGAAATCAGTCCCTTTAGTTTGACAATATAAATTTTGATTAATTAAGAAAACAACAACAAAAAACACCTAACAACATCATAATCAGATATCCCAGCCAATGAGTGACTTTTTAAAAGCTTGTATTTGTACAAGTCAAAAAACGTATACTAAAATAAGCCTTTTTCTTATACAGGAACACAGAGGCATTTCTTAGGAAAGAGCAAGTTTTTGGTAAAAGTAATTCACAACTTGTTACAACAGATGTGAGTAGAAGCACAAATGACAGTAGATTGTACCATATATGGGTGAAAAAATTATCTCCTCTAGAGTCAGATTATGGTCGCTGTAACATGAGTATAAATTTGGAGTATAACTCTGCTGTAATTCCCCAGATTTCTGTGTAAATACTCTAGTGGAACTGAGAATAGCAACATGCAAAATGAGAACTATACCTTTAAGAGATTTGCAGACAGAAGAGATTTTGGTGAACATGGAATTACATTCTGGCACCATTAAAGGGAGTACACCATTTCTAAGGCATCAGCAGAATTCAGCAGAAAAATTTAGGTGACTAGACTTACCAATCTCAACAGCTCAGTGTAAAAGCGTAACAAAAAAAGTGCACAAATGCTTTTCTGAATCTACATATCAGATTGTTTGCCTGCAGAGATTCACTTACTAAAACTGTCATTGTGCAACTTTTCTTGCAGGACACCAAAATCAGAAATAAGGATGACCACCAAATGATGGAATCTACCACCAGGTAAGCAGGCTTTCTGGTTGACGTGTGAGTACCGAAGATCACTGCAAAATATAAAGCTGACATTTGTGCAAAGAAGGTCATTATTCATTTAATGGAAATAGGAAGCTCTTACCATGTTCAACACATTTCTGCTACCACTTCCACACAGGATGATGCTAAGTTGCGGCGCAGCAGTAGAGCGATGTGCTTAGTGAAGATAAACACAGTGCTTTTAGATTTTGGACAGCTGCAGCAAAAGAATATTCTGAATCCAAGTTGTCTGCCTGGCCTTTAAAATTTGGTCATCTGAAAGTCATTAATTATGGAATTAATAGAAACATTTCAATTTGGGAAAAAAATCTGTCTTTTCTCCCCCCACCCTCTGCTTGTCTAGACTCAGCTCTGTCTTTCCACACAATCTCGCTACTGTTATGCGAGAGCCTTTTCTTCCAAACAGGCTGGAGTCTGGGATGGCCTTTGTGCATTTCCCAGCCTCGGTGACCCTTCATCTCATTTCAAATCTCAAATAAAAACAACTCCTTTTCTCCTCCTCTCCCTATACATTTTAATGTCTCTCTTCCGCTGCTCTGATTTAACTCTTGACTGTAATATTCCCAAACAAAACCTTCATTAAGATAGACTCCAAAGCTGAATGCAGGAAGGACCTGTTTGAACAAGTAGTTTCTGTCTGGGCAAGATTGTTCTCTACCATATATTTACAACTGTTTCAACCAGTCTGCTTTTAAGTATCTACAGCTAATTAGATTCTGAATATTAGATTTTCTCCAAGATTATCCTTGAGAGCTGTAAGACTTACCATAGGAGAGATTTTCCTAGTAAAATCTATTTTTTTTTCTTAGCTGGTACATACGTAACTATAATCCCAAATATGTTTCAGGTCTCTTTTCTGCAATTGTACTGCTGTAGAGCCTGTGAGCACACTTGAAATCTCTTTGACATCTGCCTACAAGGAAGGTTTCATTACAGGTAGGGAGCCAAAATTACTTTCTTTCTCACAGTGGCATTCAGCCTCATCAGATGTTTGTAGCTCTGTCCCTTGATTGTCATTTAGCTGAAGAATATAAAAATGGCTAACATTTTGAAAGGGATTTGTGCATGAAGCTGCCAAACTTCAGACACCATTGTTGAGTGCTTTTGGAAAATAGGTTCCTGTTTGGGCACCAGAACTGGGAGACGCCCAGAATTAATTGTCACTTTTGAAAATCCCAGACAGTCACTGCACTTAAATCTTGATCCTTCTCAGAGATTTAATCTTTCTTGTATGTATTTCTTTTTGCTGCTTCCTTCTCAGCCACTCAGTTCAGTTGTTTAGGATCTTTCCGATACTGCAAGGACAACACATCACAGAGTCTAAGTAAAAAAGAAGGTGCTTTGCTGACCAAGAACTTGTGTGTGAATTGCCCTAAGATGCAGCTCAGTTAGGCTTTCCTTTTAAATGGTTTTTGTTAGTTGCAAAATGTGCATGGTTAGACTTAGTCTTCCTCTAAACTGACCTTTAAAAGTACACTGGAGCATGCTAAACAATTTTTGACTCCCCAGTTACCCATGAGCATGAGATTAAGGGAGGGTGCTGGTTTATGTACAGGTTTTGTCCTGATACATAGCCAAGGTGTGGCCAGACATGTCCCAAACCAGGAACATGGAGGTGCTCTTGACTCCCCCAGTTGAGACATATAGAAAGGCACACCTGTTTATTAAGGAGGTTTCAACAAGAAGAACAAATAATGTGATTTGGCATCTTTTTTTCTAGGCAATGATGTACTACGCTATGCAAAAGCACTGAGTAAACGATGCAAGGGTTTGAGGTGGAATAATTGGGGTATATTTATTTGCCAGATACTCTGTGCAGAAGTTAAAGTTTTGTAGATGTGGCTAGCATAGAAACTTCCTCTGAACAGCTAAGGAAAAAGTCACGCTCTGGAATCTATTAAGTTAAGTGCTGGCATTGTCAGTCTTCCCGGTAAATATACATAGCGTTCACAAGAAATGACAGAAATACCACCCCGACAAAAGCCATTGCGTTTTTCCACAGTGGAGACAGTCCAAGGCGTCAGTCTTTGTGCACAATGTGTCGTCTTTCTTTTAGTCAGTGATATAAGAAGTCTCTAAAGCTACAGCAACGCTTTTCATGTATTTGCATCCCTGTAAAATGCATAGTAGGTAAAGATGGAAATCATATTTTCCATTGATCCTAAGCTCCAAGTTTCCTTGTTTGAGATAGTTAATTAAAAATAAAAATTAAAATTAAATAGTCTAATGAGATAATCGTTAAGGTATTCACACGCATTTACAAGGCTAAGAAAAACAGTGTCCCAAACAGATGCTTATTAGTAGGATAAAGAACAAGGAACTAAATCTTGTTTAGAGGAAAGTAAATTACAATCAAATTTGCAGTCTTTTAAGAGAGGTGACTTTTGGGGGAGGAGGCTGCTTTATTCAGAGACATTGTAGTACAAGAAGGTAATATTGCCTTATTACGTAGGCTGGGCTTTAACACATCTGTAAGTCCTGTCTAACTCATTACATTTACCCCAAGCAATAATGTGTCTTTGCAAAAAACATTTCCCTACAAAGAGACCTTTCTATGCCCCATTTTCAAACAAGGTAAAAAAGATTATACAGTAACTTATCAACTATAAATTGACCTGAAGCATACAAGCAGAGTTTGGGGATAAAATCTACTGCATATCGTCAACATCCTTTAAAAAAAATAAAAATATAAAATCTTCTCTCAGTAAGAGACTAACCTGTAGAATGAGGAGGTGGGCCCTTGCCGTGAAAATGTATAAATGTACAGAGACCAAAATGAGCTTTCTTCTTGTTTGCGAGGTGTATAACAATATAGTGAGTTCACCTTAAAATGTAAATAGATAGTTATCAACTTAAGAAACTTGTATTACAAGAAAACAGTATTTAAATTACATAACTAACATCTCAGATTACTGTAGTCTCTTAAAATGTTAATTAGCTCTACCATTCATTCTTACATTTATTATGACTTACACAAAGTCAGTGACACTATTACTTATGGCAGACTCACTTTCATATTGAGCCCTTAATGCTGCCGTTAGCACAAAGGAATTTGTATTTAATGACGAAACACTCACGGCAAAGCATTTTATTTGCTCTCAAGTAATCGTTTCCACACAAATGTCTCAGGAGAAAAATAAACACCTTCTCTTGACCATCATTCTGAAGGAAGTTTATTGGAAATAAGTGAAACGGGGGTGTTTTTGGCACCTGAGCTGCTGGTCTGTCATGGCCGCCCGCCTGAGAGGAGCCCGCCATGAGGCACCTCAGAGGCGCTCCAAGATGGCTCCAGCCACCAACATCGCCCTCAGCACGGGTCAAGAAGGCAGCTTTCTGAGGGAACTTCACCTCCCCGAGCAGGCCTTCTCACCAGAATATGTCTGATGTGCTAAAAAGGAACGGCCATGTTGGAAAACTGGGCCTAATTTTTTATTTATTTATTTATTTATTTTTGACCAATTTAGCTATGCTGGAGCTGATGGTTGTCTCCCTCCTTTCACCTTCCCTTCGCTACCCCCAGAGCCTACAGGACGCGTCGAGCAACAGCGCTGCCATTTTATGGACCAGAACCGAGGTAACTGTTAAAAAATAATAAAAAAATAAAAATAAAAAAGGAGGGGGGAGCAGAGAAGGGCAGCTGGGGCTAAGCGCAGGTTGCCGTTAGCGGCGCCACGGCTGCGCCAGTCCTCAGGTTACCTCCTGCGTGAGCCTGTGCGAGCAGCTCCCCGCCGCCTCGGGGGCGTGAGGGAAGGAGGGCGGTGGCTGGCGGCGGGCAGCGCTGAAGGGAGGAGAAGAGGAGGAGGAGAAGGGAGGAGCGTGGCCGTGCCCGCCCCTCAGCGCCGTGAGGGAGCGGGGCGCCGCGGGAGGAGATGCTGCTGCTGCGCCCTGCCGGCCTCCCCCCGCTGCCTCCCCGCCGCCGTCGGCCGCACGGCTCCGCCAGCGCTGCTCAGGGCTCCTCGCCTCCGACGCCCTGAAGGCGGCCGGTAAGTGCGCGGCCCCCGTGAGGAGGAGGAGGAGGAAGGCTGCACAAAGCTGGGAGGGCTCCGAGTCCCAGCCCCACTCGCTTTGAGGGCCCTGGGAGGAGAAAAGGGGCCGGGAAGGGGGCAGCCCCGCTGCAAAAGGGGTCGCTTGTGGCTCCCCCAGCGCCTGTGGAGGGGCAGGAGCGGGGGCTGAACCTGCCGGCCGGCGGAGGTTTCGCTGGCTTCTTATCGCCCGGCAATCGGCGGCCACCTCCGCAAACCGCAGGGTAATCTCTTCGCCTGTTGGAGATGGTGTCATTCTCCTCAAATTGCACGTTTGGAACAACAAAGGCGGTGACTTCACAGCGAACCGCCGGGAGCTGCTCCTCCGTACCCCTCCCGCGTGGTGGGGAAACGCTTGGGAACCGGTTTGGTTCTGGAGGTGGGATGTGAAGTGAGTGTGGGACGGGGAAACTGTGAAGGTGGTTGTGGGAATCCGTGTCTGGGTGCCTCAGTGAGGCGCGGGATGAGGAGGAGGGAGGCTGGAAGCCCTGTGTGGAAGGAGCTAGCAGGGGCTGGAGCCCGCACGGGTGCATGAAGCCTCTTCAGAGGGAAAGGAGCACGTTTGGTGGACCTGGGTCCGAGCCCACAGCTTTCCTCGGGGTTTGATCATCAGGTGGGAAGGCCGGCACCGAATGTGTAAGTCCTTAACGTGTCTTGGTTTCCAGCTCGTTCCTTTGGGTACAGGCTGGTGGAGTGAGGGTTGTGGAGAAAGCTTGCTGTCTGTGGTCAGCCTGAGCATCAGGCCTCTTCTGGCAACACCAGTCCATCTCTGGATGTCTTGAGACACGTTTTAAAGAGGTTTCGGCAAGAGTTGGGATCAGCCAGTACAGAGGCACAAGTAGGAAAACAACGTGAGCATTTGGGTTCTTGTGCAAGAAGTCCTGATGAGGAAAGAGTAAATCTGGTCTTAGAATCTTTTGTTTGGTAGCGCGGTTACAACAGATTTTGCTACCACTCCTAGTGCTATCAAACATGCCTATCTGTTCAGCTTTCACACTGGGCATTTGTATTGCAGCTGGAGTGCCTCTTTTCCTGCCAGCAAGCGTGCCTCTCCATAAACAGCCTTTATATGTAAGCATTATTTTAAAGGAAGCCTTATTTTAAAGGAAGAAAAGAACGACAACGAGAGAGAAATTATTCACTGAAGTTAGACTGTAGGGTTTCATTACTCATTATTTAACCCAGCAGTCTTCTCTGATGACTAGGAAAGTACATGAATTCCCCCTGTAATGAGATGTTTCTCTCACTGTTGCCTGATAAAAAACAAACCTTGTGTACGTAAGGGGTTTTGTACTGATACTTTTCTTTTTTTTACTGTTGCTCTGAATACATAGGGTGCATTGTAAACTCCACGGGGAAAGTATTTGTACATTAATATCTTTATATTTCTTTAAATGTGCCTTTGCGTGGCCTAGTTGAGCCTGACGTGTGTAAGGCACCGAAGGGCCTGTGTTTATATTTCAGCCGCTTTAGGGTGATCTGTAGATTTTTTAGTGGAAGGTATGCTTTTGAATATACAAATCACGTTGGAGGATTGGGGTTAAAAAGTTACCAAATGGAAGTGGAGACAGGCTGTATCACAGAGTGCTGTTAGAACAGCTTAATTAAAAAAGTCTCATAGTGCTGACAAGGTTGTTGAGAAGAGCTGGAGGGTGCAAGCCATAAGCTCGAGGACACTCAAGTGGATGGAAGAGTGTGTGGCACTGGGAAGCATCCAGGGGACAAGAATGGGCTGTGTGAAAGGAGGATTCAGTGCACAGCATGTGTTTTCAGCAGGGAGGCAGGCTGTGTGGAGAATGTGGGATTTAGTAGATTGTTCACAGCTTCACAGACCCCTGGAAGTACAAACGTGCCATGATATGGATGAATTCTTAATAAACACTGCAACAGGACATCGACAGCCGTGATAACTTGTGCATAGCATTGCTATTTTGCATCCCCCCCATTGTGCAGAAGCCTAGGTGAGGGAGGAGATTCCTTCCCCGGGGGGAGTTGTCAGGGCATGGGTATTGCATTTGCCCATTCAGTGGGAGGGAAGGTGGTGTGTTTGCCTGCCTTGTTTTGCTGTTTTTCCTTTAGAGGGGGATTTCTCAGCCATATGCTTCTTGGAAATACGGGTTAAGTATCGCACCAAAGGACTGCAAGTTGAAACACACAGCGTTTTATCAGTTGACTCACTTAAAAGCACAGCAAAGCAAGTATTTTAACTTGAACAAGTAGAACAGGAGACAGATCTGAAATACATTGGTACATAGCTGTTTTCCTTCCAACCCAGTGTGGGTCTGAGAAATAATAATTAGCAGTTGTGTAGCACAATAAATCTTCAAAGTGCCTTCAAATCTTAATCAGCAAACCCTAATAACATGCTGTTCCTGCAAGAAAGGTAAGTAATTAGGCAGATAGAATGGGACTGGGCAGATTCTTCAGCGGAATCTATTGTCGGAGCTCCAGTCGCTTGGACAAAGCTCTTCTTTATCACCCAAGCCTCTGAATACTGCTGTGCATTAAATGTTCTCAAACATTTGCACGTTGAAATAGCCAACTGCATGGCCTGGGGATCTGGTTGAGATAAGAGATAGTCACCCTCTTGCTTGAGCTCTCTGCAGTTGCGGAGACCTTGGTCTGAAGTCTCCCCAGTGCTTGTTCCAGAGCACCTGTCAAGATTTGGTCACTCGAACAAGAGTGGCATCAGAACTTTAAGGGAAATTGATTTTATTTTGAAGAGCTTTCCTGTTTACCCATGCACCAAGCCTAGGACTTTGTTGTGTTGATGATAGTGGTAAAATTGGAAGTGATTTCCCCAGCACTTTAAGTAAGTGAGCCTGTAAGCATTGGTCTGGCTGCCACATTTTAGAAGTGTGAAAGTGTTGGTTAGCTGCCCGGTGCTCTGTCAGTCACCTTTCCCTGCTTACACAAACACTGGCTGGAATTTCGCTGTTTTAAAATGAGCTGGTCAGTGAAACAAAGAGACTCAAGTCCTGCAGTTGTGTGTCATGGTTCAGGAAATATCTGTGAGTAGTCGCCCTAAGCTGTCACTTTCCGTGGGACAAGCTTGGATGGAAAGCAATGAATACCAGAGTAAGTTAATGTTGTATGTCGCCAGTTAAGTATTAATGAAATCTGTGCATCTGTAAAGAAGGGTGGAACTTCTGAAAGCAGTGTTTCCCAGCCCCACCTCCTCCTGAAGTGTAGAGGAGGAAGCTGGTGTTTACAGATGGGAAGGGCAGAAGACGACTCTTTGGTGCCGTTTTTATTTTGTCCAAGCTTCTCTTTTGTGCCACTTAAATACCTGGTGAGCGAGTAGGCATATTCTTTGTGCATCATTATCTATTAAAATGCCTTCATAAAAGGCAATTGAGTAGTCTGCCTTGGGACAATGATATGCTGGGTGAATTTGAAATCCAATTGTCAGGATAGAGATCTGCTCCACTTAGCTTATGAAACTCCTTAGGAAAAGAAACAGAGGTGAGAAGACTTTGTTCTTAGGGTTTCATTTGTTGTTCTTCATCTTTTATGTGTAAATTTATAATGTCACACCAGCAAGCCACAGAAATGTCTGCGAGAAGTATGTCAAGCACCACAGGAGATGTAATATCGAAACTGCTGATTTTTGGTTGCTGGTATTTGGAGGGATTACGAGAGCTTTTGCAGGACATTTAGTGTCATTAAGGATTCGTAGGTAATACTGTAATGGCAGATTTCAAATTAGGTGTCACGTCAGCTAATTGTACCTGTTTCAAACGGTTTATTGTCAGCGTAGATGAGATGGGGCCATTGGAAAAGAGAGGGAGGCTTTACCTTCCATTTCACAGGTGGAAGCAAAGCACAGAGAGAAAGGAACTGATGTAAAAATGACAGGGAAGTGCTGAAATTGTGATTTAATCACAAACTTCTTAGTGTCCTAGTCCAGTGCTTGGGCTAGCCTCTCAAAAAATACCTGTCACATTTTCTGTAGACTCTCAGGTAAAAAGACTTTAGGCTTGTGTGTGCTTCTGCTTTGTTCAGGGAAGGACGTGTTTGGGGTTGGGGAGTATTCTCTTAGCTCTGAATGAAGAATTGTTTTTTTTTCTTGCGAAATTGTCTTAGTCAAGAACATTAGTCTGTACCCATGGGAGAAATGTGGGAGTGAACTTCCTATAGAGCTTGCTGAAGTTCTTGAAAATGAATCTGAAAATGGTCTTCATGTCGTATCGACATCTGCCTGTGTGTGGTGCAGGTGCTTGGTTTCAGGCACACATATGAGGAAGTTTCTTAAAAGTGGCATCACTGAAGTCTGTTTCATTTAGGGAAAAAAAAAAGTATCTTGAGCTGAAATACTACCTGGGTGACTACTGTTTCTTGATGCTGCTGTTGCAGATGTGTACATGTGCTGTGATCTTGAAATTGATGCTTAGTTTAAGAGGGAAAATTCCAAACCTATTTAACTCTTTGCTCTTTCCCAAGTGAGAGGACTTAAATACAAGCTCTTTACTGCCTTTTCAGGAAATACAGTTTAGTTTTGTTGCTCTTGAACTTTTTTGGGGGGGAAAGTTGTTGGATCATGCAGTTTTTCTAAAGGTAGAATATTCTCTTCATTACAGTTGATGCTAAACACTGGATAACTCAGTGGAAACACCAAGTTCTCTCAAGTTTACTATCCTGTATCTCAAAAGCTGTGTGTGTGTGTACATATATGTAGTTGTAGGTAGGTACAGGTGATGTTCTGTCCAGGTCCAATGACAGCAGTCTTCCCAGCACATTCCAGGATATCCTTGTACGTCAGAATCTTAACACCACGACTGTTTGC